GCCTATAAAACGCCACGAACTAAAAACAATTCAACTTGAACTTTGATCTTTGAAAACTTAAACGCGCATGGATGTAAGTACCTATTTGAAATAACGTACAACTGTTCGTAAACAATTTGTATGGAAAAATATATGTTTGAGCTTTTGAAGCTTATCAATACTCAGATGAACTTTTAATTGAAACCAGAAACGAGTGTATTCATTATCCTTATTTTATAACAATTTAATCCGGAATATACTGCTATATTTTTAAAAATACTAATGCAAGACATTTTAAACTGTATAAGTTTGATGTGATGTCAATTAAATATATTAAAAAATATTCTAGCAAAAGAAATCATATTGGAACTGTATATATCTAAAATGTATTATATAAATGATACGCGCATGCGCTAAACAATGGTATTTATTGACTTGTGTAGCGACACTGCATAGCAACGATAGAATTCAATACACAACTTTCATAAATATATCGATCTAATTTCGGTCTGAACACAAAATAGTATCGTATACTAAACCATTAAAACGCAACAATCTATATATTTTTACGCTTCTCACTTGCGTACGGTCCATTTTAAACGAAAATTGAATCCTGCATAGCCATCAAATGTCTTTAAAATTACTATACTTTAAAGTTATACATTCTAACAACATCGCGTAAATACGGGTCAATTAGATAACGAAAATAAAATTTTCTAATAAGAAGTCGGTTAACAATAACTGCAAGAATTAACAATAAACGTAATTTACGAGTAAATAAACCTAATATTGCTAAACCACGTGCCTTGTTTTTACACCGGGAGTCGAACCAGGTCTTCAGATTATAAGCACTTTACGGCACGATATAATTTTAAATTGTGTATATTTAAAATGTCTATGTCAACGAATAATTTTTATATATATAAAAATTATATATACCTCCCTGAACAAGATCAGCATACAATGAGTCGTTAGGAGCCGTTCAAGTATTACGTAAGCAGATTTACTGAAATTTATCCCCCAGAGCAAAGGTCACAAAAATAATAGTAAAAAACGTATTAATTTTTCGTAGCAATCCTCGAAATTGCATTTCGTTTTCAAGCATAGACAATGTGTGGGTGATAAAAAAGTAAATAATTACTGTTGACCTAATCACCAAATCAGAAAATCAGACCCCCTCTCGCCCCTATAGTGCTTATGTAATACTTGAATGGCCCCATATGTAGATAAATATTACAATTCCCATTTATACCATTGACGAGGATTTTTAAAAATAGAATTTTAAAAAAAACCTACAATTGTATGTAATACACAAGTACTACATACACATATATACATATATCGAAACACAAGTCACGAATATAAATTATTTTCATATCACCCCTTAAAATTACAAATAAAAAAACAAATTACGTACAGCTCAATAAACTTAAATAACTTGATACACACCTCATTAAGGTTGAAAGTATGTAATATTTTTCGCTATTAATTTGAAACAATGTACTTCGCTATGACCGCTACAACCTTCAATTCATCATGGTGGTTAAAATCAAGAGTAAACAGTGTTTAGAAGGAAACAAATCATGGCCTCAAGAATCAGAAGACAAGACACGTTTTACGAGACCGACGGCCAACGTCCAGTAATGGAGAGGTACCAAAAGATTTATCCCAAAGGCATTTAAAAAAAACGACTGGTAATACATATTATATAGAAACCGTAACACTATATATGGCTTCATAAAAATATTGGCAGTGTTTTATCATTCAAAATGACTAAAGTAAACATTTATCATTTAAGTCACATATCAAAGAACCCTAGCCTTGGATTGAATCCGTTTCTTTAATCATTTTTATTTTATACACAAATTAGTGTTGTGCCTGACAAATTTAGATTTTTGGTCTTAGACATGCAGGTTATCTGCCTGAGTATGCCTTCACTAACAAGTCTTAAGGCGGAAACATACTTACGTGTCGTGGCGTGTCGTGACGCGCCAGAAGCATATTGGTTTCATACATTTAATATAATGAGAAACATATTTGCATGTCGTGTCGTGTCGCAACACGTTCTGTCGTGGCGCCGACTGCTCGCCAGTCGCCACCGATTGCGCCAGAGCGGTGGTGGGGGTTATGACGAGACACGACCAGTGTTGCCAACTTAGTGGATATTCCACTAGATCTGGTGGTTTAGATATACGTTTTAGCGGGCGAATTTTGGTTTTAGTGGCTAGTGGATTTTTCTAGTGGTTTAGTTTGTTTTATTCAGTGGTATGCTACGACATTTAACCACTAGCACGAGTGATATCTTTACAGGAAAAGACGAAAACGTTTACCTTATCAAGGAATATTTTGTCATTATGTAGGCAACTCTGTAAAATTACGTTCGTTATTTTCGGGAATTTTCCGAAACAAGTTTATCAATTTCTTAAATTATTTTGATTATGGGCTTTATTCGTATGACTAATGGGTCAAATTTGATTTGAATTAATGAGATTTGTATGTGTTCGTTTCGTATGCATGCACAAAAATAGAAATACACAACACAGATACTTAGTAGTTTTGGTTATGCTATGCATCGGAGCGACCTTGTTTGTTTGCAAATGTTTAGTTTATTTTTAAAACAAAATGCCAAAACCGCAATATACGCAAAAGTTCCGGGATTGTTGGTTACGGGACTCCCAATTAAAGGACTGGCTGGAAGTGGTGGAAAGTACAGCTGGTGGAATTTTGGTACGAGGTGCTGGATTTCGAAGACATTGCAGGAGAAAACCGATTTGAAGATTTAGCCACGTTTGCTATATCTTTATTAGTTTTACCGCACTCTAATGCGTAGAGCGATTATTCAGCATTATGAATATCGTGAAGACAAAACACAGAAACCGAATGAAGCTAGATCTACTGTCATCTATTATGACAATCCGCGCAGGTTTAAAACGCGAAGGAAAGTGTTGCAATAATTACATCTTGCCAAATTATGTAGTCCAGAAAATAGGAACGAAAGAAATGTACTTAAAATCATAAGGTGCAGAGGAATCCGACTCTGCTGAAGATGATTTTTAACGATTTTGTATGTCTTCTATAAGTTTTTTTGTAATGAAAATAAACGAATTTTATAATTCAATTTACAATATTGTTCTTTTATTGTCAAAAAATATATCCTAGCTGTATGCTATCCATCTAAAGTAAAGAGTGACATAGTCCATAGACTACTGTTTACTTCAGTAAAACATGTGTTTCCCGCGGTAAAAACAAAAAAATAGTGCTCGCCGGCTGCTTGCCTAACCCCCTCCTATCTGCGGACATAAAAATCACATCGATCCTATATTTCCTTTCGGCGTGAAAAAAAGGATAAATAAACAAACACACTTACATTTATTTTATTAGTTAGTGTGGATTTTAGTGGTTTTCTGGTGGGTTGCGACGGCAAAATTGGTGGGTTCGTTAAAATTAAGTTGGCAACACTGGACACGACACAACAGGCAAATGTGTTTCTATACCGGCGCGTGGCTCGTGCCGCGAATATCTAGCGGGCACTTTTTAATTTATTATATTTGCAGCAAAATGACTGACGATCTTATAGAATTTGTACGTCAACGAAAAGTTATATATGACTCAAAGTGTAAAGAGTACAAGGATCAATTGATCAGAAATGCTGCTTGGGAAGAAATTGCTGAAATTTTGAAAGAACCCGGTAAGTCAATAAAATAGTATTTAGAAGTTTCATAGCTAAGAGAAATTGAAGGTCTTCATCAAAATCACTATCCGAATCAGAAGAAAACATTATGTATGTTTGAACGCTGCAAAGGTTCGTTAAGTACTGTTCAGAAGTAACGCCAGAGTACGCCACGACACGACACGTCAGTGTGCACACTCACCGTCACGACAGCAAGCATCACGACACGCCACGACACGTAAGTATGTTTCCGCCTTTAATTGCCCACATAATACATTACCCTTTATATTATGCCTGGCTATATACCAGGTTACTACGATTTCCGATATATAAGAAAAATTGTATTATAATAACCAAGCAATGAAGATAAATGTTAGTATGAATGACAAAAAGGCCAGTGAATAGTTGTTCAGATTAAAACCGGCAATACGAAATTCCACCCGTATCACATCGTTCCACAACTGAGCGTTTTAAGGCAGTTTTTGTCGCGCACCACCACTATGTGGAACCAGTTCCCCACTGAAGTATTTCCTGTACCAATTCGACTTAGGGTCCTTCAAGAAAAGAGCGTACCAATTCTGTAAAGGCCGGCAACGCATTCGGAAGCCCTCTGGTATTTAGAGTGTCCAAGGGCGGCAGTATCATTTAACATCAGGTGAGCCTCCTGCCCGTTTGCTAAAACAAAGTAATAATAATAATACAGAAGGGCTCTCTAAACCAGCCAATAAAAGCCTTTGACTTTTCCAGCTAATTAGTACTAATTAAAAACAGAGCAACGATAAGAAGCCAAATAACGGTAGCGTTCGGCGGCACGCTGACCCCAGAAAATTATTTTAAAAAAAAATTGTGAGTATTACTCACTTTGGAATTCGGACTAAATTTTATGGTAAATTGCTACTATTGGTTTTTCTTTTTTCAACACAATCATAGAGAAAAAATTTATACATATACGTAATATTGAATTAATTTTCTGGGGTTTGCCAATACCTGCCCTATCGCCCAATTCGACATGACGCTGATGTATTGGACACCATGTATTTTACATAGAACGATATGGTAGACAAGGTACTAAATTAAAACTGGCCATTTTATAAAACGTGGTATTATGGATATAACCTACATTTTATAATAAGGCCGTCATCTGGGCCTTAAGACTAACAGTTACTTTAAGTTAGACGCAATATTTCTAGTTTCTACTGTATAATATATAACAACAAGATACATTGAACGAGACATGTATGTTTAACTGCATACTACATATATTTTACATTTATGTACAACTAAGCAATCATAATATCCACTATGTATAATAATTGAAAAACATTTTTATTTAAATAAAACGAACATTAAATCAATACCTCGGCAAGATGTCATCGACCGACGTGAAGTTAGAAACGAAATTCGGCCATGTTTTGATTACATTAAACACTGTGTCACCGGGGCTTAGTGTAGACATAAGTTGTCTATGGGCTAATAATTTATAGTCCTTCGCAATTTTTCCTAACTTAACACCTAGTTTAATTAATCTTTGGCACGCTTCTATTTGACGCTTTGGGGGTACAATGGTGTTAAATGTTCCTATGAATGCAATTCCTATAGAGTACTTGTTGTAGTACAGTGTATGGGAGCCTATGTAGTCCCATCCCCTACCGTAGTAGATGGATCCGTCGCCGCCGACTAAGAAATTGTATCCGATGTCATACCACCCTCGGGATTCAATGTGAAAGGTTTGTATCGAACGCACACGCAGTACACATTCACTCTGAAATAGGAAAATAAATTATATAATCGGCGATTAACACTCGGCGATTAATTACAACACATACACCCAAAACAAGTAAACAAAATACCTAGTAGATAATTCACACACACGTGTTGTAATTTTTGGATGTCTTGTTAAATATGTATTTTAAATATTTTTACAACTATGGATTACTATTTGTGTATTAAATTAAAACCACTTTTAGGAAATTAAGTGTTAGACAAGAATTTGTAAATATACAAAATGACAAGTGACATATTAACTTATTTTTTTTTTTTTTTTTATGTAATAGGAGGCAAACGGGCAGGAGGCTCACCTGATGTTAAGTGATACCGCCGCCCATGGACACTCACAATGCCAGAAGGCTCGCAAGTGCGTTGCCGACCTTTCAGGAATTGGTACGCTCTTTTCTTGAAGGACCCTAAGTCGAATTGGTTCGGAAATACTTCTGTGGGCAGCTGGTTCCACATAGTGGTGGTGCGCGGCAAAAACTGCCTTAGAAAACGCTCTGTTGTGGAACGACGGACGTCGAGGTGATACGGATGGTATTTTGTATTTTGCCTTGACGTCCGATGATGAAACTCAGCTGCAGGTATTAGACCGAACAACTCCTCTGAACACTCTCCATGGTAAATGCGGTAGAAGATGCAGAGAGATCCCACATCTCTACGCAACGCCAAGGGATCAAGCCGCACGGAAAGTGACTGGTCGTCGACGATTCGAACCGCTCTTCGTTGAATACGGTCAAGTGGAAGGAGCTGGTACTGGGGAGCTCCCGCCCAGAGGTGAGAGCAGTACTCCATATGGGGCCGAATTTGCGCTTTATATAGTTGCAAGCGGTGGCCCGGAGTGAAGTACCGTCTCGCCTTGCTGAGCACACCAAGCTTTTTGGAGGCTAATTTAGCCTTTCCTTCTAGATGACCGCGAAACTGAACGTTATTCGATATGTCAACGCCCAGTATTCCGATGCTAGCTGAGGCTTTAAGGAGAGTGTCTTCAAAGAGGGGAGTAGCGACAAAGGGAGTTTTTTTTAGCGGAAAGAAGAAGAAAACTATAGAAGACCCTCCCTTAGTAGTAGACGACGACATAGATAGTGTATGGGCTAAAATAAAAAACGCTGAACTAAGTTTACTACTACTAACTACGTCCATCGACTACGCAGACTTTGCTATGTAAAAGCTAGATTTAAGATACAAGAGGTACAAATTGGACTGATCCATAACAGTTACAGCCAGACGAACGGATATCCGGTATGACCTAATAAATCGCGAGATACCGCGTAGAAACAAAAGTTTTACGTGTTTCCCTGAGGCATGGCATTACTTGAAAATCGCCAAATACATGGGTAACCATTGAAAATTTTTCTTTTAAATTTGCACCATTTCTGTTTTGATCATTTTTCGATATTTTAACGATTTCGATAGTATTTCAACTGTCACATACAAGATACCGCTTCAAAAAATGATGACGCCATGACTCAAAAATGTAACTTACACCAAACCAGTAAGCATTATGCCCCATACACGGGACCCCTGGAATCGAATAATAAATGAATTTCATCAAACCGTCTATCTTTATCATTATTCCACTAGCACTGAAAAATATACACAAAACAGTCCCGTTGAGTCGTCTCTTATCATACGCACGAAAGACAAATCAAAACCAAAAATATAATTAATTATACCTAGGGATTTCCCGATGAATTAACAATTAATTAATAGATTGTTCAGTCTAATACTTGCAGCTGAGTTTCATTATCGGACGTCAAGGCAAAATACAAAATACCGAAGTTTGAAATTAATTTGTTTGTCATTTATCGCTATATTATTTACGACAGTAAACACAGGTCTAAAAGCAGGAAAAAAGCTTCTTCCAGTCATGTATAATCACATCGAGCAAACCCCTTTCTTAAAAGAAAAGAAACGGTTCGTAGCGATTACGACTCGCATTTTGAATATAAATTGAGGTTTCATATTAATAAAGAAGTATTTTAAACTAAAATATATCAAGAGATACTTTTCAATCGGCTTCAAGAAGTTTATTTACAATTGGGCATGTTATTATTTCGACTATATATATATATATATATTAATGTAGTCTCTTTTAGTATATCTATATACTACTACATATCTATAGATATTATATATCTTTTTTTCATGATTCTGGAGTTAAAAAGTTATACTCTAATTAAAGGATGGAAGGAAGAACTATGACTTTATTGAAAGATAGAACCCCGCAAAATTATTTAAGTTTAAATAGCAAATTCAAGACGCGTTTGACGTAGCTGTAAGCTTTAATCTAAGTTTGAATTTACTTAATGAAGAAGTCTACCACACAAAATATTGGTTTTAAAAATTTACCTGGCTCTTACAAGTCTCTGTGGCAGTGTGCGTGATTATCACCCACGGTGCTGGTAGTTTTAAGAGATCCAATGCGCCTTCTTCTGGCTGCGCTAGCCAATCAATCCTAGATACGAAGCGAAGGTATTCAGGCGATATAATATCTGGTCCACCTGAAAATAGTATATAGGACCTTTTATTAAACCCAACCGCATATGGAGTAAGGCATAAGCCATAATATCCGAGTGATGCCAACATTTATTTAGTGGAAAAATTCCACCTTAGGGGGTACCTTATTCGAGAAAAGTTTTTTTTAATACGCACAATTCTATTAAATTTATATTAAGGACCTATCCGGTCGCCAAACTCCAAAAGAGTACATTATTTCTTGCCATTTTTCGTCATCGTTTCTTCAAGTAGGGCGAATGGAAAAAACATATGGTGGAGTTGAATAATTTATGTATCCATTTTGAAAAATCGATACACGATTTAAATAACTTCGCTTGATAGAAAAAAAATCCAAACAGCCAATTTTTGACACATTGAATTCATTTTATGACGAAAATGTATATATTATTATAATTTAATGTTTTACATAACTAATTGTTATTACGGGCCGGCGCGCCTCAGTGCACCAGCTCTCCACTGCGCCAGCAGTCCACCCCGAGACACTGACACAGCAATTCGTGCTGGGATAGGGCCTTAAGCCTCGAACCAATCCAACTAACTATACTAAATATAAACGAAGCGTGGCTATAACTGAAATATCAAAAACTGTAACACTGCAAGATCGAAACAGCTATTTGATACGAAATTCATACCGGGTGTACAAACACTTTAGGGGGCTTCATCGATATATAGGGGTTGTACCTAGGGGGCAGTCTGTACGAGTTGGCATCGTATGATATCCCTGTATGCTCAAGCTGACAAAATTATTTTTAATTTCCAAAATAATTGGAAGACTATTCAACATACCGGGAGCAATGTTGAGAATACTTAAATATGAAGAAAATTTATCAGTGATAGTGTACCACACTGTAGCGACATATCATTGGTGACCGAGTGACTACTCTCTAACTTAGGCTATTGCTGCGGAGTACAGGCGCAGGTGTCGACTAATCTGTCTTGTGTGCCTTTGTTGCTGAACAAAATATAAGCATTTTCCTTTTCATAACTAGACGTAAAAATCGACCCGCAAATCAGTATTAATAATTTAAATTAAAGTTTTTTTTAATTTGTTAATTACTAATCATATCTCTTTTAAATTTATCAATCATAATTATATAACGTAAACTTTTAAAGTGGTTTCCATTTTGTATAAATTTGGCTTTAAATACTTAAAGAATGTCTCGTCGCGTTTATTTTATCACGAGATTTAGAGCGAAACACTTAACTGCTGTATAAGGTTCATAGTGTTTAAGCACAATCGACAATACTAGCAAAACCTTAATTATACATACAATATATAAAAGCAAGCATGCACCTCGTACCCGTGCTAATAGAACATTCAGGCATCCGTGTCGTTTTACTTAGTAGTGAAATCTCGTAACGGACAACACTCTATTTGCTCTTCGTCACAAACAAATGGCTCCGCCTTAAGGCTTGAAACAATTGTTGCGCCGGATAACAAAATACTACCTAACCCAGCCAACCCATTCTCACCCTTAACCATAAACAACAAAGAATGCGTTCAATCCCAAATACAGTAACGTAGTCTTGAGAGGTATACACGGTCTCTTAAACCAGTGTGTGCACAGTAACAATGTTGCTTATCTCACAATATCGAGGTAAGTATTAAATATAGCTGTCTCATTCACTCAGCTATAGACAATCATAAGCAAAGCTTTTCTGAATTTTGTTTATTAAAAAAAAACTCCAACATACCTTCGTTAGTGCACAAGTTTGTACAGTGCTTTACACAATTTTCATGATTATTCTTATCAAGTACTGGACCACCTCGTGTTAGTAATGATAGGAAAACCAACATGATTGTTAATTGTAATATGATGGATAACACAACCATTTGAACATTCTCATCGCAGACACCCAATACTCTATTGCAAGCTGAAAGATGCAAACTTTACTATGGATGGGTCGATATTGCCTACCAGAGCTACATTAAATACATATATACAATATGTTTAAGTTAGTTTTCATTACTAAGTTTTGTAAGACTTAACACTTAAATGTTGAATTGACAAGATTTTCAGTTTTTTTTTGGCAGTAAGAGACAAAAGAGAACTGAAGTTAAAAGAGTGCAACTAAATTGATTTAGTTTTTCTGAATTGGGTGGGTTTTTACTATGAAAACTTTCCTAATGTGGCTCTAGTATGAAGAATGTCACTGAATTCATAATATCTAAATTTTTAAACCAATTAAACAATAGCACCAATATTATTAACCATAATAATTTGTCAATACATACTTGAGTTATATGCCTCTGGTTTAGTGGAACTCTGTGTTGTTTGTGAATTTTGATATAGTACATAATTTACTGTGAGGGTTATAATGAGCACTACAATTAATATTCCAAAACTTAGTCCTATTATATGGTTTTTATTCCATCTAGTAAACTTCTGTGTCTTTTGAGCTGTAATGCATTAGTAATAATTACAAAAAGGACTGCTATGGCCTCCCTTACATGTAAAAACTAAACCACTCTTAGAGTTGGATTTCATCTCAAACACTCACTACCCCTCTAATACTTTTAATAAAATCATTGACCAAAAGTTTGTTTTATCGTAATATAATTAAAAGAAAAATTTATTTTGATCTTAATATAGTAATATAAGATTGATTTAGTTTTTACAAGGTATAACTGTATAAATTGTATGTTTAACCACATACAATTTATATGGTTCTTCTCAACAGTTTTAAGCAATTAAAAGTAAGTTCAATTAAGTTTTATAAAAATTTAACTGTAAAGGCAAGTACGAAAAGGGTGATCAATATGTTGTTTCACTGCCACGTACACAAACTACTAAGCCAAAAGATCTTGCCTTCATGGAATTAAATTAATGAATAAATAAGTGAATATAAATAAGGTCTTGTACATTACCACTAGATAAATGAAAATTATTACTAATTATAACACTAATCCTATCACTACTAGGTATAATAATAATTTTTAATATAATAGGAATTATATTAGCAACCAATATTTAGAATAATGAGTCAGTTAAAAACTGTTAAGGAAACTATTTTTTATAAGTACAAGGCCATAATATGACATTGAAAAATTAAGAACAATTTTAAATTTACTAACTTTTTTTATCTCCAGATTTAGACCGTGGAGATACTCCACTATCTTTTTCGTCATCAGTTACAGTATAAGAAGCATTTTCAACACCATTGTTCTTTATCACTTGCTTAATTGTTACAGGACCATTGAAATAAGTGTTGTTACCGAATTGCACGTTATCTGAGTCACTCACAGATATATTTCCAAAAACTGGTACTGTAGAGCTTTGAAGAAGGGATTTAGGGATAATCGATAAGTCCTTCGAAGGGACTGGTTTTTCACATTCTTCATTGTCACTTATTTCCGCAATTTGAATATCACCCAAATCACCGATAACCTTTATACCCTCATTCACTTGATCCACATTCATTTCCATCTCATGTAAAAGACATTACCATCACAGAAATAAAATGGAATACAGTTTACAGAGCTTAAAGATGAAGTATCAAAAAGCACTGAAGTAAACAAAAAGCTTAGCACTAGACGAGAAGGCCTTAAAAATACAACATATATTAGTCTTCTTTCATGTTAATATTATAGTACTATCCACTGACGAAACTGGTACTCTATAGATAATTATAATGGTTATTATTTAGTTAATAATTTTTAGAGATAAATACTGTCTTGCGAGTACTTAAATATGTTGTTTATTGTTGATTTGTCAGTTTTTACTTTTGACAGTAGACCTTGTCAATACGTTATTTTTCCCAGATGTATAGACTAGGGTCAACTCTAGAATACAGGTATTTTGAATTATTATCAATTAGTAATCTGTTTGTATATGTACATGTTAAACAAAAAAACGTGTGGCACTCGGGGACTGCCGCGGTAAAGCTATTGCATAGCATTTTTAATCAACTTATGCAGTTATAATTATTTATTTATTGAAGTTATACTTCTTTAGGCGCGTTATGAAAATTTGATGAGAGTGAAATTTTACGATGTGCGCGCACCGTGACACAAAATTATCAGGGAGCCCACGATGCTAAATGGGGATTTACTCGAGCGTCGTAGAGACCTATTGGGATGCAAAGCTTAGATAATAAGAAGAAAAAAATGTTATATGATATATACCTTTTCATCGGTGGGGGAAGCGGCTATAGATTATTAAATATGTAAAAAAAAACTGTTGCATGGACATCCTCGAGCGCGTCAGATATTGATAGCATCAATGCCCTACGTATTTTTAATAATGTACGTATGTTAATCTGATCGTTTGCATGATGCGGGTGGTTGTATTTAAGGGTTGAAAATTAAAAAAAAAATAAAAATTATCGAGCACGTCAGATTTTCTAAGGGAGTGTTAAGTGCACCAAAAAAAAAGCTCTCATTCACTAATCTGACGATTTCGATGGGACGCAAACCCACGGCCATTTTCATAATTTGCAAAAAAAAATCGCAAATTTGAAATACTCAAGCGCATCAGATTAAGATATATGTGGTTCATCTTTATGTTCTAAACGTACTGTCTCATAATCTGACGATTATCTAGAGGGATTCACCTGATCTGACAAAAAAAATTTAGAAAAACGGTTCACCTAAAGGGCCATCCCTGCAACTTCCCGCTAATTCCATTCCTGGGCGCTTAAAATTGATATATTGAGCTCGCTGAGTTCAAAGAAATAATATTTCTATGCATTTGAGCTCTCCCAGCTCGAAAGTGTGATAGAAGTTTCATAGAACACTATTTTTGGAATTTTAAAACCGCAATAACTTTTGAATGGATCAAGCAATTTTCACGCGGTTGGCGGCATTCGACGCAGTTTTATCATCCTCATAAGTGATTTTGCAATTTTAATTGATCGAACCACAAATTTCGGAGTAATCCCGAAAAAAACACTTTTTTCGGGTTTCTTTCGTTCACGATATCTCTCGAACGAATCAACCGCTTTTGACCAGCTTAGTGGCGATCGACGTGGTTTTTCAAGCTCAAAGGCGGATTAGTTTTTGAAGTTGATCGATAAAGAAACCACTTTAAAAAAAAATATTTCTTATTTTTTTAAGATTTTTCAAAATTTCTCAAAATCTATCGGTCCGAATCGGTTAGTAGATTCCGATCGGTTTAAGGAAATGTAGGCATCACGCAGCTGCACGCATTTAACTTTATCGACGAATTTTTGTTATTTCGGCTTGCGGAAATCGTCAGATTATATATTTTTCATTATTCTTGAATTATTTCCTTCAAAATAAAAAAAAAATTAGCTACGCTCGAGAATGTCGAGATGACGTTTTTTTTTTTACAACTTTGTTGCCCTCCCCTTTTTTTACGTCACTTTCAAATTGTCAGATTAGTGGAATATACACTTTTTAGGATATAATTAACTCACCCTACCTTAATCTGACGCGCTCGGGAATTTCTGATGGTCAATTTTTTTTTTACTAATCTGATCCTGTCTCCTTCACGGGCGGCCTTATATATGGGCCTCATATTTTGTGGAGGTACTTAACCGGGTACAAGGTATCCCCCTATATATTAATCTGCCGCGCTTGAGTAAATCCCGAAATCCCCTCTTGGGCTCCCCTACCATATGGGCGCCGAGCGTGCGCGAGCGAGATGGGAATAAGACAATCTACAAGTAAAAAGAAATAGAATATGCGTGAAGTTAGCAGCTATGCCAAGAATTTTAAGTGACCATAATGACCTATGTAGTACCTTTTAAACAAATAAAGGCGCTTTAATTATTTTTTGAAAGAAATTTAGCAATGCTTTTTCACAAAGACCTATTGTTACTTAGTTAAAAGGTGATATGAAACATACCAAGTTATTAAATTGAATTAATAATATAATAAAATAATAATAATAATTATTATTAATTAATAATTGAATAATGTACTAAATATTAAATATTATTATCGTTAAATATTTATTATTAATTATTTAATTTTTAAAAAAATAAAGATAGCCAAAGAAGTATAACTTCTTACGCGCGTACATTAGTACACGCACCATTTTTTTTATTTTTTATTTATGCAGTATTTGTTTTTATTTGATATTAATTATGGGAATGCGCAGTATGCGTTCTGTCCCACTCTAACGCGTATTTGCCGCACCTATATTACGTCATCGTGTGTTAGGATTTTTCGTTACGGAATTTGATTCGGTCGCCGCGCTCAAAGCCCGCCATAAAATCTATGCAATAGCTTAAAACTAAATACTAAACCATTAAAATCTCCTTTTGTAACTGCTTAAACAATACACTTATTTTAGAAACCTACAAACCGATAAGGAAGGAATAAGGCAACATTTTAATCTATTTATTCACTCTTAATAGGAATACGAAGAATTTCAGCAAGTAAGTGTTATGTAAACATATAGTATATCTGGTATGCTTCCTTTTCGCCTTCCAAATAGATATGACTTCCATGACCAACCATATTATATTATTACTTTTTATTAGCTCTTTATTTTAGCTGAGTATCTATGGGCTGTGATGACTGCCCTTGGGCATCCCGTAGGCCGGACGTTGCAATAACATATTTCTTTAATTTCAAGTTGGATATTTTGTACAGCCTGTTTTTATAATAACAAGATTTACATTTAATGTAGGTAATATTTTAGGGGGTTAATTGCTGAGGCATGGTAAGACACATTTGTGTATCCATGACTGAGTATTTTTTGAAACGACTTATGGATCCAAAACAATTATTGTTTCACCAGTAATGGAACCACTGAGAACTATGACTTTAAAAAACTAAAATGGACTGATCTATCTTTTTGTCGTGTGTGTTTGTATTAAACGCAATTTTCCATGATTAGGTCTAGCAATGTAATATAGTTTTTGGTATTAATGAGCATGATTAACTTGGTCCGACTTAAAAGTAAGCAAATAAAAAACAACAATATCGAATGTTACTTTCTTTAATTATTGTATTGTCAATTTGAATCAATCTTAGTTCATAACTGCTGCCCACTTTCCATCTACAGTGGACTATATCTAAATCCATTACGATGACATGACCCAAAACTCATATGTGAAATGAATAATAAATAATTCAATACTTTGGTAACTTGAAAATAAATTAGACTACAAGTATCAATGTGAAATAAATAGTATAAAATGTTATACATGTATGGAAATACACTTATGACATTTTAAAGCAAGTTTTAATCTAAGTACAATGAAAATTAAAAAATACTGAATATGCAATTGTGATTCATTCAAAAATGTCCAAGATCATATAACATATTTTAGGCTGTTTATTAAAATTTTAATGGGAAAAAGTTATTTAAAAAAATTATGTTTTTAGAAAAGAAACACTTAAAGTAGACAAAAAAAAATATACAATAGATGTATTTATAAATATGAATAAGAACATGGACATGATTCAACAATATATAGCATACAGTTGGCTAATGATCTATTCTAAGCCCATATAAACACCACACTGTTGGTTTGACCACTCAGAGAAAAATCTAAAATAATAAATCACAGACATAAGTACATAAAAACAATGATAATTTCGCGTTTATTCTTAAGTCTACAAAAACAAAATAGAAATAATAAGTGTGGTGCAACTTTCCTTATACAAAATTTCGTCCAAAACCAATGATCTTTTATTAACCGCAACCCCACAATTTACATAAATTTCACAAATTTGTAAACCCTTATTTATTGTGATTCGTACAATGTTCACTAAATTGGCAGTTAAACTACAAAAGTGACTTCTACATTCTTGGAATAAATATGAATTAATAATTACTGTAATGGGGCTATGGATATGAATTGGGGTTTTGTTCTAAACTTATTTTCCAAGTTGTTTGATGAGGGCGTCAGTGCTGAAAGATTTTGGTCTTTCAATAGGGAATCCGAGGGCGCGAGACCAGACAAGTTGTGCAAGAACACCCAATGCACGGGAGACACCGAACATAACAGTGTAGTAGTTCATCTCCTTCAAACCGTAATACTGAAATGGAAAATTTGAATTATTATCTTTGAACTTTGGTTTATTTTAAGTCAGAAAGGCTCAGTCGTAAGTAGCAAGGCATGTGTTAGATCAGTAAATATTTATAACGTCTCTTTTGCAAATAATGCTTTTTTTTAAGAGAAAGAATTGACTGCACTAAGTCATACTTACCCGTTTGTCAATTCACATACATTTTAGACAAACGGTAGTAATACTTCACTCTGAACTAAGTAAGCCTAATATATTTTCAATACAGTCAGAAAATGAAAAAAAAACAGCGTTTCAAACAACGCAATCAATCAATTGAACACAAATTTCTTATGAATTAAGGTTAATAACCCTGTGAGATTGAGATATTTCTTTTAATTAGTTAGGGAATTAATTACCTGTAGCAATACACCGGAGTGCGAGTCCACATTGGGCCATGGGTTCTTGACCTTGCCAAGCTCAGTTAGGATTGGTGGGACGACTTTGTAAACGGCAGCCACCAGTTTGAACAATGGGTCGTTGGGCAAGTGCTTGAGTGCAAATTCACGTTGGCATGTGTATCTGTAAATATAGAATTCTTATACTATTTGTATTGTTTAAACGATAAACTTAAGATTCTTTCTTTATTTGATTTGCGTGTGTGCGAATACAAGTCTCCATTTCAAAATTCATACGTACTCATAAGCATGGGAGTGCTCCAACACCCAGTTCCTAACTTAGCTACTAATAAAATGTTCTAACAAATATCGAAAGTGGTGTTTTTACGGCCCACCAAGAATTTCGAACCAGAGACCTCATGATATAGTAGAACGAGCTATGAGCCCTAGACCAATAAGACAATTATTATATTAATTTTACGATTGTTTATATTGAATTTAATAATGTATCTTACCTAGGGTCAGTCTTTCTGAGCACAGCGTGTCCATATCCAGGAACAACTTGACCAGACTTCAGGGTCTTCCAGATGAATTCTTTCAGGCTCTCCTCTGTGAAGTTGTCACCAACTTGCTTACGGAGCTTCTCCAACCAGATTAATACCTGTGAAATTAAAGTGGCAAAGTCAAAATTCATTTCAAACAGAATCATGACTAATAATCTGTTGCTATACAAATATTTTGTAGCTATGGCCTGATGCTAAATTAAAAAAAATATTTTTCTATTATCCGTATATACCGTGCTATACCCTAGCGTTGAAAGTGTGAAAGTAATTGTAGCACTACAAAAAGGGCACCATAACATTCCAAATATTCATACTTTATTATCACTCATGATAGTGTTAAGCAAGACAAACCTTCTCATTACATGGTAAAATTAACTAATATTAATTTTAAGAGTTGGTCTTATTTATCATAGATAATAGACTAAAGTAGGACATAGACGTTTCTAGAATTTCCCCTCACATGATAAAAACTAATTGCACTCCTTTAACTAAAGTCTTTCGTCTCTTTCTATCAAAGTATGCTTATGCTGTGATGAAAAGATGATTACTTTAGCTGTTAAAGCAATTGCACTAATTTATTTTGTATGAATAAAGGTTTTAATATTTTATTTGGTTTTTACGTAATTTACATTCGATTTGTTTTGAATTTTTTTTTTTTTATAAAGACAATTCACACCAATTGACCTAGTCCCATGCTAAGCTGGTGAAGCTTGTGTTATGGGTACTAGGCAACGGATATACATACATATTATAGATAGATAGACATTTAAATACATATTTAAACACCCAAGACCTAAGCACAACACCAAATCCTCATCACATCGATGTTCGTCTCAGCCGGGGATCGAACCCGGGACCCATGGATTCGCAGTCAGGGGTACTAACCACTAGACCAATGAGCCGTCAAAAAGAATTGAATTCATTGTCGATGTATAATCTAGACGATACTTGATTATTCCCAAAATAGACTTTAAATAATAAGTCAATATATACGTACTGCTTGGCCTTCAAGAAGGAAGGTAAAACAGAAATATTGGTCATCGATATTTAGCTAATTTCTGGGAAATTCGTGTCCAAAATGGCGTCTCCAGAAATAGTTCAGCGTGAATTTCGCACCGCGGTATTACTACCCAAATCATATCCATACCTCTTGGTTGGCGAGACCGTGGAGTGGTCCAGCCAGACCATTAAGTCCAGCAGCGAATGACAGGTAAGGGTCGCTAAGAGCTGATCCGACCAAGTGAGTTGTGTGGGCTGATACATTTCCACCCTCGTGGTCACTGTAAACAATCGACATTCCAGAATGTTATTAAATATAATATGAATTCCTTGTGTATATATAAAATTTTAAATAAAGTTTTTATAGCATATTCCTCGTGAAGTGCCAATTGTTCGATAATACATTAATACTTTACTAGTACAAGAATAATTAAACTATAAATTTATCATACGAATTACTAATGAACCGTCATATTAAAATGCTGATTTCAAGGACAGAGTATTTCCTTCGTCTAATTAAGACATTTACAGGAATATAAGCATAAGCAATATACCAGACATAATTTTTTAACACCATCTGGAGGGGAAATAAATACTGGAGAATAAAAATCCAATTTAATTTATTTCCAAGACTTATTTTGAAAAATTGGTACTTTTTGATCTTTATATATGTATATGTAGTATATACCCTATCCTTGGATTCCATATTGAAGTTAACCAGTTCGATTCTCGGCAAAAAATATAAATCCAGTACTTATGTATTCACCTGTTGGTGGTGTTATTTTATCCAAGTATTTGTTAATTCAACTTCGCTGAGCAATAGCGGATATAAAAAATTCGCTTGGCCACAAATCCTTATATTTCTGAATGGTGGTACAGAGACGTCTATTAAGAGTTGCTTAACTCAAGTCTCACTACTATTAGTAACTGAGTTCTTTATATAATCTCAAAAGTTAATGGAAAACTCTGACTTAACATGTCAATCCTTTCTAGAAGTACACGTATATAACGTGTGTATACAATGAGAGTACATTACACATTGGATACGTTGCCAAGTGGTGCACAAACATGTGTTATTTTTCGTGCCAAATTGGTACAATGACATTCGCAACACTTTAAATATATAACCGTTACGAGAATTTATTGATGAAGCGATTTCAAACTCGTTGTTTCATTATTTTATTTGACGTGCTCTTTCGTGTTTTCTATACAACGAATATTGAAATTCTTTTTTTTTCTTCATGAGAAGCCAGCTATAATTATTTATAAGTTACAGACTCTCCTTTAAATACCATAAACAATCGAACACAGCCTCAAAGACTAAATTTTTAAATTTGTTTTAATTTTCTTTTTATTAATTTTTAATTTTCTAATTACTTATTTATATAGCTTAGCAACATATATGTATTGGTCCAGGTGAAATCGCGACAACTTGATACAAATCGTGACATATTTGTTATCTAATTTTGGGTCGTAGTCTATCTAAATAATTCAAGGTGACATTGATAACGATATAGCGATAACATTACAAATTCCATATTTCAAGATTCGGAGATAATGACATTTAGAAATTCTAAATATGAAACAGTCTTTGTTTATCTAAAATGATATTAGGATGTATGAGCCACCATGCATGTTTTAAACCTAGCTTAATTTACTCATAGATATCCTCTAGTAAGTCGAACTTTAGTTACACAAAATAACTGATATAAATCAAGTCTTGTTAAGCTCAGTTCACGTCGATTTGTATTTGGGTTTTTCGAAATCCGTCAAAAGTTGTTATAACTTAATATACAAGTAGTTCATATATACATTATGTAGTGTTCGAGTAAAAAACGTGATTAATCAACGAAACAGACAGAAAAATGTATTCCCCATACGGGACAGCTACAAATCTTGTGTTTAGTCACGCACATATAATTATACATTGTCATCATTTGCAAGGCCATTCATTCGCTGTGCTAGAAATTAGTATATTATCACAAATAGGTATGTAATCACTCGTTAAGTGTACATGCGATAACCTTTAAAACATGCGGGTTTAACAATTTTCGAAGCTATCAGAGTTGTCCATTAAGCTAAAAATTCGCTGAATTAGTTAAATATTAAAGAAAGCATAGTGATTGTTTAGCTTCTATTAAGTTATTTAAATAGAAGGCTTAATCATCAAATAATTAACTCTTAATAGACACTTAATAGTCTAGCGAGGATATACTATGAAATCTATGAGCAAAAATAATTGTTGTAAAAGTAATCTGTATGAAATAATGTCTTATTGGTTGGCTTCGTAGAATTTGTATCAGAGGGCTCACGAGTGTGTTGCCGGCCTTTTAATAATTAGAACGCTCTATTCTTGAACGACCCTAAGTCGAATTGGTTCGGAAATACTTCAGTGGCGAGCTTCGAAATAGTGGTGAAACGCGGTAAAAAATGCCTTAACAAACGCTCAGTTATGGAACGACGGACGTCGAGGTGATACGGGTGGAATTTCGTATTCACATGCGCATCATGCGTCATGCGGTCGAACCTTGACTGTTCAAGAATGGATTTCTTGACTTGAAAAACTTCTAGACATTCCTGCGAATGTCTGAGGCCAAGACGAGTAGGTTACGTAGTAAACTTTTCCCACAAAAATCCATACGTATGTTTCGCTATCATTTGATTCCCAAGTAGGTGGCTTCCTCCCTTCCTAATAGGTATGTTGGTGATCAAGGAATAGGCCGCTAGTTCACAGACGGGGTTCGAACCTACACCGTCAGGAATGAGTTGGACGCTCACTATACAAATTATTTTTAGCACAGCTTTTATGTATGTATTATAGGCTATTTTATATAGAGTTTTATAACCTTCATTGATTAATTGACTAAAACACAAAACTTATTAAATCCTTTCAAATTAGAAAAAAATTCAGAGCTTAGGGCTGGAAGTTTCTAGGGTGTGAGTGGTAGGAGTGAGTGTAAGTTCCTGATGATACAATCATAGTTGTATTTATAGAGGCAGATTTTATTGAGATGATCAATTGAAACGTATCGTGCCAATAATTGACTCAATAGTGTACACGAACGCACCTTTGCGATTGGATACAATGGCTGTAATTATACCGAAAGAACGTGATTCTTGATATCAAATCTATTTTTATACATATGAACATTTTAAATCCATTTAAATATTAATTTGATGGAGTACAGAAAACACACTCCGCTTCTGAAAAATTGACACCATTACATCGTTGAATTGATTGAATAATAAATATTGAAAGCTTTTGTATCTTAACAATATATTCGATTTTTGGCAAAACAATAATTGCTATGTAAAATGTGCTGACGTGTGCGCCATAATTGATTTTATACATATATGATTAATTTCAATAATCATAGCGTAAGCCCGAAACATTTGTTATACTCCCTTTGGAGTTTGAAGAGTCCCTACTCTTGGGTTCAAGTGCACAAGCGCTAACTAAAGATTTAAGTTGGCGCCTGGTAGATAGTACCGCTGACCCCAGAGCTGGTGCTTTCTTCGCTCAACGAATAAGTATCGCAATACAGCGAGGAAATGCTGCCAGCGTTAAAGGTACACTGCCACAGATACCAAACTTGTTTACTTTCTTGTATTTTTCTTATTAAAATTATAAAATGTATTTTGTAAATAATATTATTAAAGAGATTGTGTTATTTTAAGAATTAACAGTTATGGCCATCCATAGTAATATATTTGTTTGAAATTATTTCATTAATATTATAACAGCCGTAATTATAGCAATATAAGCAACATCAGACATGAATATACAGCTCATTTAAAAGAAAAATAGCTTAGTTAATATGAAGAATAATGAACATAAATGTTGCGCAACCGGAACTCACTAAAATGAAGAGTAAACAATTAAATATCAAGCGTTGACGTCACAAGTTATTTCCAGCTATTAAGATATTGAGTCGTAATTAATAAAGAACCTTCGAGATGCACAATTGTCCTAGAAATCTAAATAATGATAGTGAGAACATATAAATAATTAGGTACGGATTCGAAAAAGCCATAAGCAGTTAATTTTCAAAAATATTATAAATCTTTCAAAAAAAATGATTGGTGCTTTCCTCGCGCAACGAATAAGTATCGCAATACAGCGAGGAACTGCCAGCGTACAAGATGCCACAGGGAGAAAACATTTTTTTTTTAATTATCAGTTTATCAATTTTTTATTATTATTACTATTAAGCTTAAGAATATTACTTGTAAGACTTCGTTTTGAAATAAATCTAAACATAAATTACATACTATATATGCACATTATCAGGTTTGAATATATTATTCAGGTACCTTTACGCAATAGAAGAGTAGATTGTGTTAAAAGGGATCCTTTCAATAATCACGATATCGAGTACTTTTGAAGTACATATGACAGATTTTTTACCACAAATACAAATATTTTAATTTTTTATACAAAAAGTAACCAGACCTTTAAGCAAAATGTATACTTGTGAGGGCAGATCCCTACAAAACCAGTTTGAGTCTTGCAAAACATTGCGTTACGTAAATAATGTAAAAATATATCCGTTTAAATATTTTATAGATGCTCTCAAAATGCATTGGTATATCGTGCATTGTACGCTTTTACACCGTGTAATTTAAATGATTATCTTCGGAGTTATATCGAAATTAAAGTAAAGAGATAGCTGTTCCCAAAAAGTAAAAAAAAAAAAGTAAAGAGATATAAACGCAAAGTAACTACATACTTCAGCGATAAAAAAATATATTTTCAGACATTATGAACGTATTTGTAATGAATAAGCTCGAAATGCGGTCCGATTTCCAAAATTCTTTAACTAAAAGAAGCTATTATTCCTGAGTATAGCTTATCTTTATTTCCAAAATATAAATCGTCGTGCAAGCCGCAGTTGTTAATATAAATCGTCGTGCAAGCTGCAGTTGTTAATATTTTTGAGAACATCATCATGCATTTGGACAAACGTTTGCGCACAAAATGGTAAATAAAATTTGTAGCTTAATAGCTGTTAGATGAAGGAAATAAAAAATATAACACATGAATCACACACACAATAAATTCGCAACACACAAGACAAATTCGCAAAGCTGTTTTGGGTTCTTTAACATGTAATTATAAAATTATTTTACATTTACTTTCAATTAGCACTTCACGATTTAATGGAAACTACATGATCATATATATATACAACATTTATAAAACTGATTTCGTATGGTTAATTTTTGCGTATTTTCCTAATTTAATACCTGTGAATTTGAAAAAATACAGAACGCCCACCAGAAACCTAGGAAGATAGAATAAAAAGGATAGCGGGGAAGGATTGGATTGTGGAGGATGAGAGACAAATTGAAACATTTGGAGAGGGCCATCACTCCTCAATGTAATTCTGATTATGTAGTAGTCGTATGAAATCTATTTTTATTTATGTTACCTGTGAATGGTGAGGTAGAGACGCATTAGTTCAGTGAACTGTGCGTCGTCGAAGCCAAGCATGGTGCAGTAGTTAGCTGACCAATCCTTGTTCTCGTCAATGGCACCGATTCCCTTTCCATCGCGGTAGACGTTGCGGTAGATGGTTGCGGCAATCACGGGCAACTTAGCGATCAAGTTCATTGCGTCTTCGTAAACATACTGAAAATTCAATACAAACCTATATATACTAAAGTGGATTAAAAGATTCCGCGGTTTAGTTGTAACATTTGTGTTCGATTCCCCAAAAATTATAGTTTAGTGCCTACTATATAAAATTTTCAACTCTGTACGTTTAATCGCGATATCTCTGCAAATTTCCGGAATGAATTTAAGATAAGATATAATTTTAATATATCTTCGAAAAACACAATCTAGTAACAGTAATTTCACTTATGTTTCTATTTACTGAGCAGTCCTGGTCTAAGGCGACTCTAAAGGTCGTAGGTTCGAAGCCCAACTGTGTACCAATGGACTTTTATGTGCACATTTAACTTTGCTCTTACGGTGGGAAACAGTGGAAGGAAACCGGCATGCCTTAGACCCAAATTGATCACCTATTTGCCTTTTAGGAAAAACAAATAATCACGGAGCAATACAGAAATTTGAGAACTAGAAGGGTTGTAGAAGGGTTTTTTTATTTACTGACCTCCCAGTACTTGGACTTGTGCACACCCTCAGAGTAGGCTTGAGCGAACTTAGACTCGCTGTTAAGGGCAGTTACGGCAGCCGAAAATTGCGACATTGGGTGTAATTTGGTTGGCATATTGTTCAGCATTGTCACGACGTGGGCTGGTAATTCCGCCCTGAAAAGAAAATGTATATAGATCTGGCTGACGGCAATATTGATAATTGTTTTTTATATTATATAAATTAAATGTATTAGAATTGAAATGGAAAAATTACTCCTACTTAATTTTCATGTTGTGTGTGAAATAGTTTTTTTTTTTTCAATTTTCCTTATAAGATTTCTCCAGAAATAACCTCCGAGTACTCGAAGGTCACCGTGAAGGTTACTACGATTGCTTCTTAAGACTTTTGAAAACTTAAACATCATTCAATTTAAAAGATCAAAGTTATAATAATTAACTATGGTTCTTAACCATCAAGACGTAATATAAAATATTTATTTAACTACAAACACGCGAATTATTGCACGTATTTAGCCGCTAAAATACAAATTTAATGCACGAAAGATATAGAAGATTACTAGAAAGAATGCCATAAAAAAACACTATATCTTTATAGCAAAACCAATTTTAAAATATCTTTCATTTATTTAAAGTTCAATGCCAAACCTATTCTTATAAGGTTTTGAGTTTTACTGGTGAAAATATGCTATATAAGAAAAAGAAATACCTTTGAGCCCATTCCTTGGATATCGCAGCGACTTGGGCTTCGGTGGGAACTTCCCCAGTGACAAGAAGCCAGAAAAGACCTTCGGGCAGAGGCTCGTCACCACCCTTGGCTTTGGGCAGTTGCTTTTGACACTCGGGGATGGAGAGACCACGGAATCTGATACCTTCATCAGCGTCAAGCACTGATGTTTCGCAGATCAAACCCTTGATTCCGCGCATTCCACCGTACATCTGTAATGTTTAATGTATTTAGATCTCCATAAATAACATCCGCTCCAGATGTTTCCTTGCTGACCATGAGGCTCGGACATGAGCTACCGACTGAGAGAGAGAGAGAGAGAGAGACATAACATTGTGTAAACTATATATTTCATTTTATTATGTACTTTATAAGATATTTATTAGAAATATCCTAAATGTAAAATGCCCTACAGTATTAAACTCATAAGTTTGTTTAGGAATTTCTATGACTATAGTTATAAATACTAATATATATATTTAAATACATTTTTGTCCGTTAAATAAAAGAACCGGATGGATCTATTATGTTTTGGTAAAATTTCCAATATCGTACTATTTTACATAGGCCGCCACGATTCTATGGATTGTGGACTAAGTGCGTACGACGACGCCCATGTGTGAAACTATTAATAAATAAAACATTTGAGACATAAGCGTTATGTCTCAGCTCTGAATAGGGTTAACCTAAGAATATCTTACAGCATCTTTCCATGAAATATATTATATACAGTGGACTCTCTATAATTCGAAAGTCAAGGGAAATGCAAAAAAATCGAGTTAACGCGCTTTCCACTTAACAAGAACTTCGAGATATAATTTAAATGCTGAAATTTCGCATTACAGGGGCGCGATTGCTAAATTTATTTTTCAATTGTATGCAATGAATGTATTCATTCATTAATACAATAACAATAGATTAGAAGCCTCGAACGCGAACATTCATTTTGGATTTTATCGCTATTATTTCGGGGAATTCCAAGTAAGACGTCATTATATTTTACTAACTACGACTTACGGAGTCTCCTTTTTGAAGTTCGAGTTATAGAGTGTATATGTATTATCAATACTTCGTAGGGAAATAAAATTTTGTTCGAGTTACAAAGTCTAAATAATTCGAGATACCGTGTTTAGGGGTTCAGCGGAAGGGAATGGCATTTTTTTTCGACTTAACGAGGTTAATTATAGAGATTCCACTGTATATTAATTATTTCTGGAAGTATATAGTCATTTCATGTTTGATCACAAATGATTGCATTTTTGAGAACACGATATAGAATAGTAGGTGGTGGGAATAATAAAAATATATTGATCAAAGGCCCTCTAAACCTATTTATCTCTTTTTATACAGAACAGGACAGACGTTGGGCCACAACCACACCCCTATGTTAAGTGAGATGTGGCCTATTGGAGGGCACGCTTGTTTATACGCCGCTTAAATGAAGCAAGAGCAGTGTTGGCCTAGTGGCTTCAGCGTGCGACTCTCACACCTGAGGTTGTAGGTTCGATCCCCGGATGTGTACCAATGGACTTTCTTTCTATGTTCGCATTTAACATTTGCTCGAACGGTGAAGGAAAACATCGTGAGGAAACCGACATGTCTTAGATCCAAAAAGTCGACGGCGTGTGTTAGGCACTGGAGGCTGATCACCTACTTGCCTATTAGATTTAAAAATGATCATGAAACAGATTCAGAAATCTGAGGCCAAGACCTAAAGAGGTTGTAGCGCCACTGATTTTTTTAAATGAAGCAAGATCTGATGATAAAATGTTGCGACTTACCATGTCAACGGTGACGTCTCCCATTTTGGTGGCGCCATGTTTCTTACGGAGCTCGCGGATCTTCTCCTGTTCCTTCGGAATCTTCTCCTGCAGCACGCTCTTAAGGTTTGTGTTCTCCGCACTCAAGTTGCGGAGCAGGATAGATGCCGTTGGGCATATTTTCTGTAACAATTTTAATAATTTAATTTATTTTATTTTAATATAGATGTAGGTATCATTTTCTTGTAAAATACAATGTAAAAGCAATGACAATTTAATTCTTAAATTAAAATTTTAGTGTGTTTCATTTTTAATCGTGTGGAATAAGTAACAGTACGGGACAGCCATAAAAGGCAGTCACCACAGCCCATGAAAACCCTTCAAAGAATCTCCGTATCTTGAGGTCTCTGTATCGATCGATCTTTCATGCATATACAGTGTAAACTCTATGTGTCGTCCCTCTATGTATAGCAGCTCTATGTAACGACAAACCCCTTAAAGCGTCGAAATCAATTTGTTGGTTTAGCTTGTCTACCATACAATGAAACACTCTACATAGCATTACACCTTCCCTCAATAACGACAATTAAATAATAAAAATCACTTTATAAGTTGCCGAACTTAGTTAAAACTGCGGAGCTGTTTACGTTCATTAATTGTCTTTATTGTCCTAGCCCGTAATAAGCTCGACTATCGACATCATACGTTCTTAACTTTCTGAGAAATCCGGTCGTTTGTTTACAAATTGGGATTGCTTGCACGTACTTTATCACAGATGCCTCAATATTGCAAGATATAAATAAAATAAGTAACAAAATACAACATATTTGCTGGTATAGCAAAAGCGTTAGCATAGCATACTAACACTAGTATGAAATAAACTTTATCTTTTTCTAATACAGATTTATCTACTTTCCGTTTAACGACAACTCTCTGTAACATCAAAATATGCACAGTCCCGAGTGTCGTTATATAGAGTTTACCCTGTAATTTAATAAATAGTTAAGAATTATTGAAAACATCTACATATAACATCACATTTGGAACGTTAACAGATGTATAATTTAACAGAATATAACTGAAACCCTGTCCTGTATCTATGAGGACTTCAAAGTTTTCATCACAGAACACGAAAATAATTGTGTTATCTTTATATGGCTTAAGTGAGAGGAAAATTCAAATCTTTAACTTGAAGCTTCAATGTGACCTTAATTATAACAAGGATACATCAAAATAAGGATAAATGCATTGAGGATAATGTTTTATATATTAACGAAGGGAATTTACTTTAAACAAAATAAATTCTTCAAAATTTATTCCCCAAAGAAACGGTTATTGCCGGAAGTCATACATAAATAGCAAGTTACCAATTATTATTATCTATTTATTATATTATTTATTTACATCAATTTGGCAATAAAAAGTTATTGTTACTTTCAGTATTATCTACCATTTAAGTATTTTTAAGTCTTGAGGTAAGGGTGTTTACGATTCAAAGGGTATGGATTGTCAAATTATCATATATTTTTTTCTATTTAAACAAGTAGGTAAGTTTGCCGGAAACAGATCACTTGCGGGTCAAAGATATACCAGTTCTCTCAAGACGTACATTCTGTTAATAGCTCAAAGAAAGAACTATCAATTGGTACACAGCCGGACTTCGACCTTACTAACTCGACTACTAACCTTTAAAATCGCGCTTACATAGGTATCTTCGCAAAAAATCGTTATTATTTAAGACATTAGACGCCAGAGAATCAATAATAGGTATCTATTTGTTAGTTTAATTAGTTTTATGACCTATAAAGTAGATGATAGTTCCATTATATTCGTTCTTAATTAGTCTATCAATGTTGTTCCACAATTCAATCAATAAGTCGGGTCAAATACAGTTTACCAATTGACATTGAATACAATGGATTAACTCGACGCTTCTTCAAACCGTTTCTGATTGATTGGTATGATCACCACTTCCGTTCGTTCTATACAGACTGAATAGATTGGCAATTTAAACCAGATTGACGATTCAAATCTTGTTCAGCGGCCAGACGGTTTATTATACAGTTTCACTTGAACACAATAAAGCCGGATAAATTTTTATATCAGTTGAGTCAAAAAATACCAAGTCCTTTCTTTGGTTACTTTTTTTATAGAAAAAAGGGGGGGAAAACGAGCCTACGAAACGCCCAAAAACGGCTGTCTTCGCAGCCGATTCTAGTGGCTCCGCTTTGAGATATTTGTTTTATTATGTAGTCAACAATTAAATAATGTAAGAAAAATATCTGCCTGTTTGGACACATTTTTGTTCTTTATGGAGACTCTTTGTATAGATTTAGATTAGACTGCATTGGATTGCATTCCACTTCTCGCTTTCCACTGCTTGACTTGGCAATGTCTTCCAAAAACTACCCTAATAGGATCTTCACATTCCTTTAAAAATAATTTTTATAATTTAATTTTCTTAATATTACAAAGTCAATCTAAAATACAAATAAGAAATGTATATACATTTTTTAATTTTGTTATCTTTATAAAATATAAAATGTGGTTCAGTGGTTTATACGCGGGGCGTGGAGTGATCTAAGTTTAAGAAGTGATAATAAAGGTAAAATATGGGCGGTCACGTCAGTCACTATAATGAGAAATATCTATTAAAACACGACCCTTCATGAACAAGGCCTTCTTAACAAAAGAAACATATACAATAATTGTTATCACCTGCTCCTTGCATATGAAATGAACTGAGTTCAATACACGCATACCTACATTAACATAATTTTAAATATATTCATTTGTTGGATCAGTTTGAAAGGTCACTCTATTCTCCCTTTAACTATAAAAATATAATTAATATACAAGGTACACTTCAGCTTCATATGGGTAAAATATTGGCCAATATGTACGTATTATATAAGTACGGACAGTTATGACGAATTTAAAGAAAACCTGATTCAAATTTGAAAAGCTACCCGAGAAAGTCTTCAAGCAATAAACTTCTTTTAAAAGCTAAATATTACTGAATTACCTACTCCGCTGGCTGTCGCACCCAAAACGTGTCTTAGCCTCCGCAACGAGAGGACAAAGCAAGTATGTATTAATAGATTAATTCATAAAAAAATAACTATTAATCTACGAAGTTAAAGATCGAACCTTGTTCACAATTCACACGCGTTTGCGTGACTGGTACGTGAGCCTCTCAACGAAATATGGCGCTAAAATACTGGCTGTGAACAACCTTGAGGAGTTACGCAATATTTAAATACGAATAATAAAGTAATTTGAGTTGCTGTTATAAATGTAGTGTACGATATTTAACTTCCAAATGAATATATTGAGTTAATTCAGGTTATTTGTGTAATTAATGCTCGATTCTCATTTTCATAACGAGTATACATAACGATGGTAGAATTAACAGATAATCAGCAAGTATGTTAGGAACATATTATATGTTCTACTGAGGATAACTTGACAAAATTAAAAAGTCCTTCGTCTCTGCCAAATATGAGAGCGCTGAGATGTTCCTCAGACTTCCTGGATCGGTTTTTGGAAAATTCAATTATTTCTATAGGATTCGTGTTTTCCTCGAGCAGTGGTAATTCCACGGGTTCTTAAATGGCGAAATTCCGGGATGTCATTTATTTAAGTGTCAGATGAAATACACGTGTGTGTCATTGTGTTCGCATGCTTATTCTTGCTAGTGCCTTGTTCGGCTGAATTGATCTCTTATCATATAAAATATCAGAAATATTTTCTCCAAACACATTCGTTACTTACTGTTTTTACTATAAACAGCTTCGTATGTTTAGGGTCTGTTTCACAATGTACGGATAAGTTCTACATAAGTTCCAAATTAGCTATTTATTACTTATTGGTAGGATAAACACTATTGTTGCGTTTCACGACTGTCAGATAGCGCCATTCGTCACATAAAGTCCATCATAAGTTATGTGTTCGATGAATGTCAAATAGCACAATTTATCTTCCAAATATTAATGTGTTGCATAGCTATTTGGTACTTTATCCATACATTGTGAAACAGACCCTTAAAATGTTAATTTTCGTGGCTTTATAATGGTTGGTTTACTTTTAAAAAGTTTTATTTACAGAGTAACCTCAGAGTGGTCTTTGTGAGGCGTAGACCAAAATTTTGTCTTTAACTTTATCGTATTACTATTGGATTTTAAGAAATAACCTAGAAACCACCTCAGCGAGTTTCCCCAATAACGGTAAAATACGTATATTATATAATCAGGGCAGCCATATATTACAGTATAAGTGGATACAAATCCAGTCTTCGTTTAAGTTTTATCATGACTTTTTTTTCTCTGCGTATCAAAATGTTAAAGTTTGTCTCATCTCTGGCTTGTATAATAATGTAAAATAATTATGGATGATAGTTGATACGCTTGCCCTGATCACTACCTATACCTCTATCGACTATCGGCAAAACAAAATAAACAAATAAAATGGAATAAATGTTTCTAGTTGTAAGGCAATTGATCGCCTAGCGTATAAGACTTAGATTTAGGGTCTGTTTCACAATGTATGGATAAAGTACCAAATAGCTATGCAACACATAAATTATTTGGAAGATTAATTGTGCTATTTGCCACTTCATCGGACTTATAACTTATGATGGACTTTATGTGACGATTAGCGCTATCTGACAGTCGTGAAACTCAACAATAGTGTTTATCCTACCAATAAGTAATAAATAGCTAATTTGGAACTTATGTAGAACTTATCCGTACATTGTGAAACAGTCCCTTACTGTGTTAGGTTTAAGTTATTTTCCGTCGTTTTTCTCAATCTTCAAGGCTATTACGGCCGTCCGACATGACGTAATAAAGCGAAGTATTTATTACGTTTTAAATATAAGAAATCTAAATAAAAAATACTAATGATTTAACTGACACAATAGTTGTCAAATAAAATTATTAGTGGCATACAAAATACCAGTACAATTTTCAGTTAAAATTTATCTATTTATTGCATTGTAATAATAATTGTTAACGTTCGATTCCCAATCTACTTTCAAGGGTTTTGAACCATTGGATAGTTCAACTGCATTTTCGAGTACCGTAAGAAAAAGCATCGTGAAGAAACCTAAGGTAACCTATCTAAGAAGACAGTCGACTACCTGAGCTTCACAAAGCTTGCTTGTCTAAATATTGAAACAGTTAAATGTGAGGTCAATATTCAAGGGATTGCAGAGATGGATTGGGAATCCAGTCGGGATTAATCTTAATATATAACGTCCCTCTTGAGCGCATACTTCATTTGTTTTAACACTGTTGTAATCAAAGGGACAAAGAGGACACGCATGTCGTGAACCTAACTTGGATTACGATAATTACGCTTTCATAACGATAAGACGAACAGAGATATGATTGATACGCCTATTTGATACACATGTTAGATTAAGCTACGCATTTATATACTGCGAGAAATTACTTTTCAAAGTTGGCGGTAATTTAAAATCAGAACGACTTTAAATAATCTCAAAGATTAAATGAATAGTTATTTTAACCTACATTGGCAAAGTAACAATAATAATTACATAACCGTTTTTCACGTGACGCCTCAGAAGATAGTCACGCACACCTTATCACAATATCGCGCCATTTGGACGACATGATTTAATCTAGGTGAATGAAGACCGACCATAACCTTGACTTTCACTGGCTTCACATGAGAATGATCATGTGTATGAAACATTAAAAGTTTCAAGTAGGCTAACAAAAACCAATGAAACATGCGAATATTTGATTACTTTACTCTTCAATTTGGTTTATATAATCTAAATATGGAAACTAGAATAGAACATAGATACCTACAGAACTTTTTTTGATTAATGAAAATTATTTGACATTATCCATGCACTGTGTGTGATTATTTAACTATACATCTAAATATTATTTTGTTTATAGTTTTCCATTATCATAGTTTTCATTCAGAGATTAGCTTCAACAATAATAAATATTAATTAATATTCAAATAAATGCCAAAAAGTACAGTAGTTACAATTAACCTACATAGTAATAATATTATTAATAATAAAAAACCAATCCAATAAAACCAAACCAAACTTTTTAAATTTCTTATAATTTTCTATTATCAACTTTGAATGCCAAAGTTAGATTCATATTTGTCAGAAATTCAGCATTTTGCATATTAAGTGAATGACAGTTTGCTTTGAAAATTGCAATGATATGTTGATTGATGGCTATACATAAGTTTTATTTATGATTTCAAACAAAAACTTAGTAAAATTAGTATTAGTATAGTCCGATAATGTATAAGACAAACAAAAAACTAAAAATTATCTTAACATACTCAGTCCCTGTAATGTATAACATTAATTAAATACATATATATATTAAAAATTTTAAGATATTAAAATTTAAATATCTTAAAATTATTAATATATATGTCCCAGAGGCAGACAACAGTATTGAATGGTGTTTCACTATTATTTTAGTTTAAACAGCCAGATAGGTATGGAGGATATACATTTATTGATTAGTAATTAAAATAAAGTAAGATTAAAGGAGAATGTAGGTTAAACAGATACCAACACATGCTAATTTAGTGGATACAATATTGCATTATTAATATATCCATATTTTTGATAATATTGTAAACAGAAAACAATGCATATTATATGAGGTTTGTATTATATAATTCTTTATTTTAGTGTTTCTAATTTTGTTATGATATAACCTTAGTTGTCGAAAATTTTAATAAATATTTTTTTAGGATTAAGAAGAACTCTGTAAGCGAAGCTTCACCAACGCGAATTGTAAAACGCGAGTTGTATCTTAATAAAACATAAGAGGTACATTATCAAGTCGTTCTATACAAATATTCATGTATCCAGGTAAGCATTTTTACAAAATTTGAAGTTTAATATGATAAAATGTTGTTACCTATGCTATTTAAAATTGGAACGTTACGCCCTCAACGCAGCAACGTTCTTGCCCCTTGGGGTTAAACGTGCGTCTTAATACACAAACATTGTCAAGGTATGAAATTATATTTTAAGTACTGCTCATTGATCGAAAAAAAAAGTGCACTAAAATAGTTCATATTACATAACACGAAATTCGAAAATCTATTAAAAAGGTTATGTGTGCGAGAGCGGTAAAAATATATTATCATTAAAAGTGCTTAGATATAAAATTAAGTATAAACTTACCTGTATTTCAACTAATTTAGAAGTTGTAATCTTGAAAAGAGCCATAATTGAACCCACCAAACGCAAGCCGAGACGCACAGACACAAAGTATTGAATTCTTCCACGGCAAAGTCTAAAGGCGAAGGGTGATGAGGGACTTGTGGTCGGTGTTGCCAGTAATTGATTTTAGAATAGTACACAAAACGTAATAACAAAAACTCAATTATGTAGAAAATGTGCACCCGTTACTTTAAAAACCATAATGATAGTAATACATATGAGATATGTTTTCAACGAATGCAGTTGGTATCGCAAAATACCAACAAATTTTGCTAATACAACGGAGCTTTGTTATATAGGCTTGATCGCTCTGTCATTATTTTAACGACTTTTACTATTTTTACTTTTACTATTGACGTTAAACGTATAACTCAGCATCTGGAAAATATTTTATTTTATTAAATATATGTAGGTACCTATTTTGCGTAATGCATGACCTACCAGAGCAAGTGCACTTCATGTGAGAATGGTTACGTAGATAAACGTAAGCTAATGTCGTTTAGATATAGCAATAGTGGGCCCTTGAGTATCTTACGAAATCCTAATCAAGAAACTTTAACACTATGGGATTGGCGAAAAAGCTCTAAATCTTATGGAATCATACCTGAGCGATAGAATTCAAAATCCAGCTATATAACAGGTGTCGTCTGTTACTATGGGAGTACCACAAGGCTCTATACTTGGTCCCTTCTTATTCCTTGTCTATATAAATGACCTACCATTTCTTATAAAGGATCTTCACGAGATAGTACTGTTTGCTGATGACACTTGGCTTTTATTTAAAGTGAAACGACGAAATCCATCACTTGAGAATGTAAACAGTGCCATCTCCAGTGTAGTTCACTAGTTTAATAAAAATAATCTTAAGCTAAACGAAAAGAAGACAAAATGTATAACATTTGTAACTAAAAATATAAAAAGTAGTAATTCTCAAATAATAATTAAAGATGAGGAAATAGACTTTGTTGATAATGCGGTATTCTTGGGAATTACTTTAGATAGTAAACTCTATTGGGGCCTACACATAGAAGGTCTTTCGAATAGGCTAAGTTCTGCAGCGTTCGCAGTGAAAAAGATACGCGATCTTACGGATGAGAATACAGCAAAGCTCGTTTATTTCAGCTATTTTCATTGTATCATGTTATATGGTTATATCTTGTGGGGTAATGAGCTGACATTCAATCGATATTCGTAGTGGGCGAACTACAACATTCATCCAGGCGGCCGAAGGCTGGCCATGCGTCATACTCGTGAACGGGTGCTACTTGTGGTGACTGGTCGTATTTGAATTCGTGAATGCGGTGATGTTAGCTATTTCGATTAAGTATTTCCGTGTTGTTCCCACGAGAATGTAAGTGCGTGCTCCTATTTCACCATGCCTCCTGCTGATAGTGGACAAATCTTTGTTTTTAGTTTATTTTATTTATTACTTAAGATGTCATGTGGAACATGGTGTAATGGTTGCAGCTCCTTACAAACGTTATGTAAAAAAAACTTGGCGATTAAAAAGAGTGGTGGAGAGTTTATTGCCAGTTCTACTCTTCCGTTCTACGCCCTCGATTTGAGGACTGGCAGTAAATGTAAAATTAGAAGCATTTAATGTATATTTCTTTTTTGACGACACTTTTCATCTGAGGCTTTAGGTCAAAGTTTTAATCCTGTGCTCCTAGCTCAAGCAATGCTGTCGTTGTTTTTGGTATTAAACAGGAGCACAAACATACATTCTTCGAATAAAATATAGATTTATAAAATTACTCTAAATAGTGACAAAAAGAAATTGTTACAAATTGACAGCAACTAGATAGTAGTTTAATTGCTAAAAAAAAGTACATTTTACTATTTTTTACCGTACCTATACGATTTTCTTTATGAAGGTGATGATGATAAATGATGTAGATAGAGTCTGACAAGTGAATTGTGGCACAAGCCTCTGGTTACAAATTAAAAAATCTTTCAGCTGTTAACCCTGCATATAATCTGAAAAAACAATCTTGATAGTTTTGCGTAACTTGATTATTTGTTTAATAAGTTTGGGAGTCTCCACAGAATTTAGTCTAAAAATAACTATAAGCAAAACATTAACTACATCAAAATTAACACTCAATTGAAAACAGGAATAATAAAGATGCACAACTTAAACTCAAAAATATTTATTTATTCAGAACTATAATCAAAATCTGATACAAGAAAATCGATCCCTTTTAATGATTCTTTCCTTTTTGTCAAGATCCAAATCAATTATATAGCATTTAGATCACTATGATATGGCGGCAATGATGACCTCATGTCCATGCTCTTTTGACAGTTCCTCAACTTCGTACAGGGGAGTGGGTTTGGTTTCTTTGACAAGACACAAAAGCTCAGCCATTGTAAAAGTTTTGTCAAAGGTCGAGTCTGTGTCATTATCGGTTGTCATTTTCAGTGAGCCACTTCTGAATATCAGCCTTTAAACTGCTCATCGTAGCTAGTTTGTTAATTTGAGTTACACGATAACTCGTATTACCAATTACAATAACACTATATTCAGTTAAATTGGGTATCAATTTTTATTCCTTCAATTTCATGAAGTTATTGCCTGTCATATCATCATGGTAATCAGCCATTGTAGATTTTTTGCTGAATACCAAAAATGGATTGGGCACAAAACCCTTCTTAGAACCAGCATGGACTATGCTGTATTTTTTACCTAAAAACAAATAAATGTTTTCTTAATATATAAATTCTTAATAAATAATTAAAATAACAAACAAACATTCTGAAAGACATTCCAAAAAAGGCAAAATTAAATTTACAAAAACCATTAAAAATTTTGTCAGTTACTCCACTAACTTTTATCTTAACTTTAATAACTTTTTTGGCTTGTAATTTTGGTGGACATATGTTTCGTAAGGTAAACTACTTCGGTAAACTATTATTTGTCCTTCTTGCCTCTTCTTATGAATAACTCTTAAGATAACTGTCTCAGATGATATTTTAAACTTTTCAATTAGAAGTGACATTTAATTTTTATTGGTTTTAAACTCAAAACCATTTTTTAATAATATTTACCTTAATGAATCTAATATATTCTCGCAGTTCTGCTAACAAAGTTCATATTTTTGGAACTTGTTTCTTAACGCAGTAAAATTCATTTATTTTATTACAAATTGCGTATATGTCAAAATCATCTAAGTTTGAAACACTGGGCTTGCGTGGGCGTTTTTTCCTGGCGTGTTCCACACACATTGGTTTAAGGAACCTTCCTTTTTTATCCTCCTCATTGTGTTGACACCAACTTCTGCAATAATTACAAAAATTGGGTTAGATGGCAGATTATTATCGCTTACATTAGAATAAACATATTGAAATACAACCTGTCAGTTTAGATAAATGGGCGAAATAACTGGATTCAGAGGTAATCAGATCTTTTTTCTCAACATCTTTGACTGTCTTCGATCTGACGTTTTAAATCTTCGTCATCAGACAGACCTAAAAACAAGAAATAATCAATGTTTGTGTTGAAACATAATTACTCGTATACTAAAACAAAGATAATTTATGTTGAATACAAACAATTTTTATTTTATTTTTAAATCTAGGACGAATATCAAAATGTTTCGGTTGTACTTACTTGCAGCTAAAATAAAATCATTGTTTTTCCTTGAAGCGCTGATCTATATCATCCTTCCTTTATATATCTTTCTCTGTTTATACTTGCTAATCATTGTATAGAGCAAGCTCCGGGCACTACTTTTAATGGGTTTCGGCATTTTTTCGCACAAAAACTTAAAATTATCACACCATATCAATATCAAGATCAACTATCAAGAGGTTTTTTTTTTTTTTTCCTTTATGGCTCTGGCACGGTTTGTGCATTAGCCAGCGTCAAGTAGGTTATCAAGAGGTTAAAGTGACATTTAGTTTGAGAGACACAGCAGTGTGGCCATATGAAGAATCGCGTCCCACGACACGCTTGTCAGGCTCTACGCGGCATCGTGCAGTTTTCCATAGATAATAATTGCATTGTCAGTTTTACAAAATTGCGGTTCCAGAATAGTTTCTGTAATCTGTGACCACTTCGATTTGTGTATACTATACTATACAATACAGAAATCTTTAAAAAAAAAGTAGTAGGTCACCTAGTATTCAAGCCGCCGCCCTGTGCCTCTCGCCCTCTGCCTCTCGCCCCCTTGATCCTGGTTTTGTGGCTCATCGTGGCTGGGTCGATAACAGATAAACCTGCGCATAACGCCTATCGCGCATCGGCCGTGGCGCGTCCTATAACCCATTAGTCATTACCCATCATTAACAGCTTTGAACTTTGTTGCAAATGTCGTGCACCTAGTTGTGTTTTTTTTTGTGAAATGGTTGAAATTGTACGGACAATGCCTAGTGTTACATTAAATTCTTTTCCGTAAAAGTGCTCAATGGTTAAAAACGTTAGAGAAAAAAATTGTTAATAGATACATTTTATATATCACCACCGATCAATACCCTGTTCTATTTTTGAAACATTACTTTGTCTTCTGGTGACTTCATTGTAGATTTTCAAAATGTTGTTCCGTGTTACTTTGTCTTTAATTTTTGTATTTTTATTGCCAATGTTCTTGAGTATTAATGGTAGTAAAGAGTTCCGATTAGGGCGGTCGAAGGGAGGAAATTTAGGTGCGCCGGCTGAATACGCAGGTGAAAATCTTCCTCCAGCACAATGGTTTCAACAAAAGCTGGACCACTCATCCCCAACAGATCAAAGGGTCTGGGAGCAGGTATATACATAACTTGTTTTTTTTTTACACAAAAGTATATAATAGAGAAATTACCTTACAATAGCACTAAACAATGGGGATGTTCAAATTAAATTTTGTGTTAATGTATATCTGAGTTTCGATACCCCTTTGTCCCACATCAAAAAAATTGATGTGGGACATTTTTTTCAATTGACACTATCATATCTTTTTTCATAGCCCTAGCCAAACATACTATGGATGCCTTTTAGGCTATGTACTTTTCTGTACCCAAGTATAGTAAAACGACCACCTAGTGACTCTTTATACCTAAAAGTTACCATTATGATTTATGTGGTGTAAAGTACTGGAAATTCGAAAATAATATTAACAATAACGGCTTAATTCAATCCCCGCCCCGCATCGTAACGTTGTACAAAAGGACGCCCCCCCCTCCCTCCAAAATTCGTTATGTAATACTTGAACACTCCCTTAAACCCTTATTAATTTTTTTATTTTTTCTTGTGGTACAACTGGTTAACATAATAGACATTGTACATCTTTCAGTACAGCATTATTAGCTAAGTATTATAGTTAGTTCAAAATTGTTTGGACTTATTGTCTAACTTAATAAATTGTTAGCTCTTTTAAAAATTTTGCTGTAGGTGTTTAAATATCTCTATTTTTCAGAGATACTTTGTAAATGACTCATTCTATAACAACAAAACTGGTCCTATATTTCTTATGGTTGGGGGAGAAGGCCCAGCTAATCCCATGTGGATGACTAAAGGAGCTTGGATTACTTATGCTAAAAAATTTAAAGCTCTCTGCATTATGTTAGAACATCGTTACTATGGAGAGAGCCATCCCACAAAGTAATTACAATTTTTTATGGCTAATTTATATAGAAAGATTTCCTAAATTTATTTGACCTAATAAAGGAGTATCTTTTTTAATTCTCTCTTTTGGCCGAATTGCAGTATCATAGTTATTCTAAGATACATATACATATGTATAATTTCACAGATTTGTTTGTTTAATCAATAGTTTTGACTACAAAACCATTTTTGATATCTGGTGTAAAATAGAGAAAACCACAAAAGATGCATGACAATACAATTTTTGTGTTTCCATATGCACAACCTCTATTCAATTATATTTTTAGGGACTTGAGCACAAAGAACCTTGAATACCTATCATCATTCCAAGCTTTGGCTGATATAGCCAACTTTGTGGATGCTATGAATGTTAAATATGAAAATAAACGGCAACTCAAGTGGGTGGCATTTGGAGGTTCCTATCCTGGATCTCTTGTTGCTTGGTTGAGAGTTAAATATCCCCATCTTATATTTATGTCTGTGTCATCTAGTGGGCCATTACTAGCCAAGTTAGACTTTCAAGGTGAGTTAAGCGCAAGTTTAAGTGTATTATTTCTTGTATAATTATAAAATATTAAACAATTAAATACAGAAAAGGGATACCACCATTTTCTGCATTATTCCCTAAAATTTGTTTTATCGGGTCTTATTATTTAAAATCTCTAATGTGTGAGTTATGTTTTTTGTTTTGATGAAATGTATAATAAATAAATAATTGAAATATTTCCATGTACCTCCTGTTTTTTGACTTCATTTATTCTACACATTTGAATAGTTGGGAGTTTTTTCTTAGGGTATCCCTAAGAACTAAAATATTGTAAATTACATAGTTACAAATTTTTGTAGAATACTTTGAGGTTGTAGAAAATGCATTACTTGAGAAAACATCCAGCAAGGATTGTACAAACAAAATTAAGGCAGCGCATAAACAAATTGTTTCTTTGATGCAAACAAACCCAAGTGTTCTTGATGACGAGTTCAGGTAATTATTTCAATATTCACTTTCTTATTTTCTGAAATTAATATTTTTTTAATACATTTATATAAAACGAGCGTGATCATTTATATCATCTGATGCAATTTTTTAATGAAACCTCAAACAAAGAAACATTCTTTCAATAACTATACAAGAATTGTTTAAATTGTCTTCTTTTGGAGCTGGTTTATAGGCGTTACCAGGACCAAATATGCCAAAGTACATAACATGAAATAGCATGATTTAATTATTGGGGTTTATCGATTTGCGCTGGGAGTGGCTGTGACATGACGTCAATGCAATCTGCGCACCTCGAATGCGCCTTCGATACAAAATCTATAATTACACCTAGCCGTTGCTATGTGCACCTATGCCCGGGCGAGGGTTTATACATTTATTTTAGTGTGGCATTATAAGTAATACTTTTGAAATTGAGAATACTTAATAGTTAGGGAAGTGCGAATATTTTCCTAAGTCTGTTGAGGCTATTACTCTCTTAAGATGCTGCGTTATTTACTAATCTTTTAAATATGAATAAAAATGAATAGGACAATATTTTTTTAAGCTCGAAGACGGCTGGACAAGTTCGAGTATTTTTTGAACTTGAACTATATTTTATTTATTTTATTTTTTTTGGAAGCTGGAGCGAATGGGCTAGTATGTATAGCAAAATGTTAGATATGTATTAATTGAAATCGACGTTCACCGGGGCCGCTTTATACAATTCGGGTCTTAATTAAACAACTGACATTGTTAGTAATAAAACGTTTCCATCAACACTTTTGGGCACTCTTAGTAATAGTGCGGAAGAGTCTTCGGTGCCTTCACACACTCCAAGTCCTAATGCTCAAAGTTCCGGTTTACCTTTTGGTTATTGAGCCATTATATCCTTACACATTCATATCATAGTTTAAATCTGTAATATTATTTTTGACGCGAATTAGTTTGTAAGTTACGAGCCTTCAATTGATTTCCTTAAACCAAAAAATATTAGTCCCTCCGATTTTTACCCACTCAGAATATACAACTGACTTCAATCTATATAATAAAAACGAAGGGAAAACATAAGTAATATTTTTCAGAACTTGTAAACCCCTCGAGAACGCCTCTAGGAATGATATTAGGAACTTTTTTAACGGTATTGCTAATGATGTCGCTGGTCTGGTCCAATACAATGAAGATAATAGAATAACCAACGACAACACATATAACAATCTCACTATTAATACGGTAAGTGCTGCATTCTCTTAAGACAGCGATGCCAAATTCTACAGAAAGTCCCTCCTAGGACCAACTTGAAGTAGTATAAAATTTCGATTTTTAGCTTTTTGATATTCCAGTTATATTCACGTTTGGGTTATATTTGGTTTAGACTGTTGCTTGGGTTCGAGGCGTTATATAAATTGTACTGTATCGTGTTTTTAAGAAAAAATAAAATTCTGAGTCTAAAATATCTTAAAATCCCTCTAACACTACTTAAAAACACTGGACTCGATTCCCCCTAAATTATTGCAACCCCCAAATTGGCTTTTATTCGTCGATCATACAATATTATCTTTTTAGGTTTGTGATATGCTAACTGATTATAAGAATAACACTCCCGCATACAAAGCCCTGGCTAGCTTCAACTCTATGATATTGGATCAGAACAACGAGACATGTATGGACTATAGCTATGATAATATGATACAAGAGTTAAGGAATGTGACCTGGGATTCGTCGGAGGGTGGTAAGTTGTTTTAAGGGATAGCAGGCGAACGAGCTCTTTTTTTTAAATTTATTTTACAAATAAAATCTAAATGGCACGTTGGAAGCAGTTTTTAATAGGAGTACTTTTTAGGTCGCCAATGGATGTATCAGACATGTACCGAATTCGGCTTCTACCAGACATCTTCGGGGGAAGAAGAAATGTTTGGGAACGATTTTTCTTTGGAATTCTTCATACAACAATGCATTGATGTCTTTGGAAAGAAGTAAGTATATGGAGACTCTTGGGTCGTGGGGTTCAAGTGCACAGCTTTAATAACATATTTAAGTTGACTCTAGAGCTGGTGCTTTCGTTAACGAATAAGTATCGCAATACAGCGATGAAATGCCAGCATTAAAGGTACTGCTACAGGGATCGAACTTTTTAAATTTGTTTTAATTTTCTATTTTTATTTATTATTATTACTCTTTAAGATAAGAATATTGTAAATATTGTATATTTGTGTTTTGAAAATAAATATTTGTTTTAGTATATAGGTTGTATATGTAGCGGCAGCTGTTGATAAAATTGGAAAATTTATTTTTCCTAGGTTCAGAAGTTTTTAAGTATTTCGACCATCATACATAAAATAATTAAACATTTGACAAACATATATAACTTACGGCAACTTGCAAGATTTTGATATAACAGTACGAAAATAATAAATTCCAACAATATCACATGACAGGTCAATCTGATAACCTCCTTTTTCGAAGTCAGGTAAAGACGTCATAGCAGGGCGTTGTACTCCGACTCTTTCTATCAAATTGTGATAAACAAATATACATTTTATTGGTTTTTTAAAAGCCTCAAATCGCGTAATAATATTAGACAGTGTGGAAAATAAAGTGTAAGAAAAAAAATGTGTTTAGTTTTGGATTTGAAAAGCGATATGACTGTTAAATAATTTTTATTTATTTGTGTAAAATAAATAATTTGACATCCCTTGTTTAATACTGCTGTCTTGGAGATTTTCATCGGATAATGTTTTGTAATGTATCATTTTGTAATTGAACACAAATCGCAGATTGATTATGATAATCAAACACGTGAAATTTCACTGTTAGGTCTGCGAATCGGAAACCATCTATTTTTCACTGCCCTAAATGTTACTTTTTATTTTTAGACAACATTTTTTGTTTTTATATTTTTATGATGCAGCATACAATAGTACGTGTAAACCTTATTTTTCACCTCAATTTCTACGATCAACCCCCAACCATCCAACCAACTAAAAAAGTTTCCTAGAACTAAACAAGACAAAACAATGTTTGCCGGCTCAGCTAGTAATCTATAAACTTATGTAATGGATATTTACACAGTTTCAATGAGGCCTTCATAAAAGCCGGCATATCTTGGACCAACATGGACTACGGCGCACTCGCCATCAGGGCAACGCGTGTTATCTTCGTACATGGATCCGTGGACCCGTGGCACGCACTCGGCATGTGCACTACTGCTATTAACGAATCTCCGGTCATCTATATTCCAGGTATGTCACGCAATAACTGAACGTATGTTAAACGAGCTGGATCTGGACATCCATAGTTGCTCACCTCACACTTTGAGAGCGATTTTCGTTTAATTTATTTTTATTTACTCATGTTTGTTTAAATTATATTATTGTTTTGCTTAATTAATTTTATTACTTCTTGTATGCTATGTTTGCCTGTTAGTGCTTGACACATTAAAAACTGTATTTTATTTTTCTTCTGTCAATGTATCAGTGTGCCAAGCGTTGGCAAGCTTTTATAAATAAATAAATAAATATTTTGCGGGGAAAGTTCGCATTTTTAGAAGAAAAAAACTATGAACGAATGTTTTTAATTATTTTTCTTTAGGAAATTTGAGTTACTATATAACTTACATTTTCTAAAAATGTTTTTTGAAGTTATACTTCCTTAGTCGCGTTTAAAATTGATGAGAGTGAAATTTTATGATGCGCGCGCACCGTGACACAAAATTAACAGAATGAAGTTGCCCACGGAAGATGCTACGGCATTGGACATAATTTAAAAACAACATTCGAATAATAATAGAATTTATGTTACACTTAATGTAAGAGAATAATAATAAATATTTATTTATTTAATTTTTCAAATGTAAACTGAACTTTATTGACTATAATGACTCCTTTTCCAGTCTTAGATTCTTTAATTGTAATTAATTATTGGCATGTAATCAAAAACTATTTTTAAGAATGCCAAAGAAGTATAACTTCTTACGCGCGTACATAAGAACACGCACCTTTTTTTTTAAAAGTTTGGACTTAGATACGAATAAGATAGTTAATTTCATGAATGATGAAATAATTCCGATGTTTTAGACTACAGCGGAGGCTAGTTCAATACCTTAACTCTTATATTTCGCAGGTACCGCCCACTGCGCTGACATGTACCCCGCCCGCGCTTCTGACTTGTCCGAATTGACCCGTGCCCGTGACACCATTGAGAGCCGTCTAGCCCAGTGGCTCCAGCTTCCATGACCCGTACACCCCTTCGCCGGTCTAACTGCGCGCCGTGTGTCCCAGATCATATCGATTTGTCTCATTCCACACTCCATGCTATTATTGGGATTCTCTATGGCTGACGTATTGCATAACAGGTTTTTCCGTTATTAAAAGCAGGCCAAAAATTAAATGATGTTTAATCAAGTAGTTGTAGTAATTGGTGTCCAATGTTAACTAATGCTGAAAAGCAGTTAAAGTAAGTTAGGTTATAATCAAGAGTCAGTGCCACAGTATTAGGATTATTTTCTATTTACTACTAATTTCAGCTTAAATGATTCAGAAATACCTGAACATTTACATACATTTGTGTCGCATTAAAACTAAAGACGCTGGAACAAGCGTAAATGTTTTTTTTGCTACCAATGGTGGCGCTAGTCATATTAAGCTCTTCTTGTTCTCTGTGGCCTGGCCAAGTTTGACTCTGAAAACTTGTATCAGAAGGTCTCGTCTTTTTCTAACATTATAAATGGAAAAGAGAGGCATATAAAAGACCTTCATTATAGAGATAAGCTAATAAAATTACTCAGTCAGTTGACGATGTTAGTTATAAGTAATACATATTCTTGATGTCTCTTCATGTAACTAAAACGAATTTAAACTTGTGTTGGGACTATTATTGTGATACTCTTTCGAAATATTTTGTTGTACTATATATGTTTTAGTATTTGGGATCACTTATGTAACACAAATTGTGAAACTGTTTAAACGGACTAAGTCTTTTGAAAATAAATGTCTATTTTAATTAGTAGTTTTATTTTATCTCCTCAAGTAACAATAACTGATCAATGAAATATATACTAGACTGGTAAAATTCACAGACCCCTTATAAAAAATGTATCTCAAACTCCACTTAACTTCTCATCTGTATTTTATCATTAAAGCGGAAGCATAATTTGACAGAGGAGAGAATATATAAAAGTGCATCTATGATTTTATATATACCCTTTACATAACCCCATGGTATGTATAATATATCAAGCAACGTATGTATGAAGTCCAAATGAGGCACAAAAAACTTAAGTCCACTAATAATAATAGTTATGATTATGACTTTGAGGAAATTCTATGATCCCCGTATGTCCCCTGATCCCAATATATATTTGTTATACGCTACATTCTTAATACAATTTTTATTACGTATATTAAGCTAATGCAAGGGAATTAAATAAAACATCTAAAGAATTTACATTTTTTATTGTAGTGTATACACTATCATATATGATACAAGATATATTCAAAATAGGAACGTACTAAATTCACAAAAGTGATCACAATTCACGGCCTTATCTACATTTGAAGTAATATTAGATTTGGTCTTCTATCTGAAATTAAACGTACCTACTTAAGTCTACAAATTCTGTGAACAAAAATAAGATTTAATTATTCGAGTTTCAAAACTAAACGCCAGAGACTGTAGAAAACTAAAATTGGCGGGAGATTGTGTGCTTGACATTGACAGAAAACCACTATTCTCTTATTAATAGTAACAATAGACATATAACTACTATTGATAATTATTAATAAGTAAATGGAGATTTCTGTAATTTCGTTTCAGTACGTTCGGCCAAAGATTCTCAAATGGTTTCTGATGTTTTATGGTCCATGTCCTGGTAATGCTACACGTAAACTGTTAAAGTATCGGGGCCATAAATGCGAGTCTCAATTTCAGTCGCCGAGCTTGTATTTTCGCCTTAATTAAAAAAAACCTGTCTATTATAATATTTTTAACATCTTATATCATATTTGTATAAAAACAATGCATTGAATGCGCTTATTAATTGCACTTACAACTGTTTTCTAACTATTCAACATATCGAAAATCTCACAGCCAATATAAGGTTTATCGAACTTGGTCAAAATATATGGCGATTCTATACACCATTGTAAATATATGTTACGTCTCAACAGTTATCCTAAATTCACATTATTTTTTATATAACAGAGGGGAATCAGGTAGGAGGCTCATCTGATGTTGAGTGATACCGCCGCCCATGGACACTCTCATGCCAGAGAGATCTTTTCTTGAAGGTCCCTAAGTCGAATTGGTTCGGAAATACTAGTGGCTAGCTGGTTCCACAAAGTCGTGGTGCGCGGCAAAAACTGCCATAAATAGAAGAGAGGAGTAGCGACAAAGGGAGTCTTTTTTTAGCGGAAAACGCGCAAACTTGTCTCTTGGAGTTAAATTGGACTAGATTTAATTGACCCCAGTCTGAGACTTCAGATACAAGTTTGTTCCAGTATGAATCGACTACTGCCCAAGAAATATTTGCACGGCCAGTGTAAAGAGTATCCCCAGTGTTGTCGTCCGCATAGCAGTGAATGCTAATTTGCAACATTGATATCGTTGTCATTGATATGCAGAAGAAAAAGGGTCGGGGGTGTCCTATACACAGCCCTGTGGAACCCCAGCATTCTGGGGTCGAAACATGCTCTGTCAATAACGACATTGAAGTTCCCAACGGCCAGAAAGCTGGAGATCCAGTTGCATAGGCTGGAAGTTTCGAAAAAAGCGCTATATGCCACACCCAATCGAAAGCTTTCACTGTATCCAAACTAACCTCCCTCTTGAACTCAATTGCCATATGAGGTACCACGATGCAAGCAATACTGATAATTACTAATCAGACGGTGGCCCTCTAGATACCTCAGGAGATGGCCGTTAACAACGGTTTCCATTATTTTGGAGAACAAGGAGCTTATTGGGCGATAGTTGAACGGATCAGAGCGATAGTCTTTTTTAAGGATCGGATGTATTGTATTGAAGCGGTCTTCCAGCACTTCGGGACGGTATCGAACTAGTTACCGGAAAAGGCGCGTTAGGACCGGAACCAACTCAGGAGTAAACGAAGCATAATTTGGTGGATGTCATTAGACCCACTCGACTTATGAATGTCCAAGGTAGATAGAGTTTTGCGGACAGAACGTTGCTGGTACATGATTTCCGGCATCGAAGTAATCACACCACGATGGTCGGTGGTGCCTCCCTTGGTTATCCAAAGTCGAGTTAGACGCGAAGAGACAGCACAAAAGGTCAGCTTTCTTTTTCGCGTTATAAGCCAGCGAGTCATCTTCGCTTTGCATGGGTGGAACGGAGGGTTGTCAGAAATTGTCTTGGACCACTTTGACGATTCCCCGAAGGGAGGTGGGCCAATCTTTCGCCAAATCTGGAAATGTGCTCATACTTTGCCCAGCGACCTCCTGTTTAAAGTGTTTTTTAAGTGCACCGGTATTGGCATTGCGCATTTGGATATGCTCAAGGAGTCGGTTAGTTCCGGAATTTCCGCTATGGGACCTACACAGCCACGCGTAGAATCTCTGATGGTCAGGACAGTCTACGCGTAGCCAAAGCAAGATAAGGCCATACCTTCAAGAGTCACGAGGCGGCGATAGTAAATATCCTTCTGACTAAGATTCTATATATTAATTAATAACTTAACAAATTAAATGATTTCAGTAATGGTATCATCTTGATCCACTTGGCTTTTCAAAGTTTGTCCTTTTAATAAAATCTCCATGGTTCTAAAATAGAAATTTGTAAAATTAAGTAAAGGATGAACAAATTTATCTTCTAAATATGCATATGCGAGGATATTTGAAATCTGTGCTAAGTTCCCTTTTTTATCAAGTTGTTTATCGTTCGACAGTTACTTTAAGACTTAACAAATGAAAAGTTTTTAAAAGCAATTTTGTGAAATGACGTTTCGACATTGAAATATAACTATAACGTAAAACATAGACGTAACGATGGCGTGTTTCGTACGTTTGTTATTGGTCCACATTTGGTCCAGTCCCAGACAAACATTACCATAAAAAATGTCTGCTTATAAGAGTGTATAAATTTATTTACCAACAATATACAGTCTAAAAAGTTTCATTGAGCCATTTCCTCTGAGGGTTTCAAGTCGAATCGTTATAATTTGATTATAATAAAATATACTTTGCCAAATCAGTGATAAATTTACTTAGAGAAAATAAAAAGAAAAACTTACAATGACAAGAAGAAGACAACTGCCTGTGTGCCCATAGTAAAGTAGAATATTGCGTTACTATACTGCGTACCGAGCGTCGCCTTGTAGATTTGCGTATACACAATGGACGCAAACATTCCCACAGCGTTTTCCATTACCGATAGGAAGGCGAACGCAACACCTAATTATAGAATAGATATTACTGTAATTAGCCTAGGGTATTTTTTTCATAATTTTGTACATTATTACCACCAATTAATTTGTCTGTCGACAAAAGCCTTCTTCAAATCGCCTATTGATCTGCTTTATTTACTTTACCACCTCGGTGAGAATGTAACGAGATGAAAGATGATGCTTCAGAACACTTACATGACGGACGACGTAAGATGGTTAACCGGGGGGAATGAAGGAGAGAAGAAACAGATCAACAGACAAGATTAGGAGGGGGATTTTGTCGAGAAACAATTAGTGGTAATAGTAGTAAATGATAACTAAAAAAACCTTGGGTAATTTCACCAACACCGGCGCTACAGCCTTTTAGATTTGGGTCTCAGGTTTCTGTATCTGTTCAGGTGATCAACGTTATGGGTATGTCTATAACACGCCGTCGACTTTATGGGTCTAAGGCATGCCGGCTTCACGATGTTTTCCTTCACCGTACGAGCGAGTGTTAAATGCGCACGTAGAAAGTCCAATGGTTGACAGCCAGGGATGAGAGTTGCACGTTGAAACCGCGTAACAGCAACAATGGTTTATTTTTTTACCGTCTCATGGAGGGGCCATGGTTATTTTTATGGGCATTCGGCCCTTTCATTTCGCGGACTCTGCGATAGCAAATATTTTAATGGCCCTAATAAAAAAATCTGGTTAAATTGTATCAGGACTTGGTGTAAGTTAGCCATGCTTTAAAAGAACCAAAAATTCATAGAGATAGAAAAATAGTATGCCTAATTCCCATAGGGCAGAAAAAGTCTCTTTTCTTATTTACTTCCCTTATATATATTTATAGATTTTTTCACAAGAACTTTTATATAAAAATAATAGGTAGAGAGCTTTCGAGCAAAACACAGTATTACATAATAAGACATTGAATGATTAATGCTTGCCTCTTTCAGCCGGCGTAAGAACCTTTGAGGTCATTGAACGAAGGAGTGACACTATACAGGGCCCCAATGCGGCTGCAGTTGCCCCCATATACATGGTGCTGCCAAGAGTCGCTTGTGCATATAACAAATGACCGCTCATGTGCGCAGCCGCACCCAGCATTACTATCATCTGGAATTTAAGTGCTTTTTGTGTCATTTTTAGCAAATAAATAATTCTTTCGAAAATAATTAATTTATATTCGAAAGAATTATTATTGTGTCGTGATCACACATTGGGTTTATATTATGTAGTAGATACATCAAAATATTAACGGATTTTAGCCTCAGAATTAACATTTAATTTTTTACTGCTAATACAATTTTATATGTGATCAAATCATATTATTTTGGAATGTATATTTGTATGGTAGTATTTATATATTTATTTTATCTAACGTTTGCAAGAAAACAGTAATTCGTTTTCGTCGGGCGTCTCAGGTAAACCGACTACGTCAAGGTTTAAAATTCGGGCCCACTGCTGTCGTTTAAATAAGTGATTTCTCTTAAATTAACTTCTTTTTCGGAAATATCTGCCGGCAGTGACAATATCCGGGCTCAGTTTATTGGTCTTGTGTTTCCTTTAATTAATATTTTCTTTTACGATTTGTAATTTCGCATCCAATCAAGTTGTTCTGATCCAACAAGTTTGAAGATAATGCAGTACTTAAGTTTCAGCAGCGTGCATAGGGGTATTACCGTGCGATGGTTATGTCGGAGCCTTGGAGTTACGTATCGGTGTATTACCATTTTCCACTTGGTTGTGATATTACATATGCAACGTTGGTGATGCGCAGAGGCGACGAGAACTTGGAGAACTTGATCGTGGTTGGTAACACAGAAGGAAAATATCCGTTCACCAACCAGATGGGCCGATCAAGTGAAAGACTCATCGTCCTAAAAACTGTACTGCTGTCATAAGAGAGGCGCTGTACAGAAACCGGTGGAAACAGGTAGTCCACACCAGATGCTTTCTTGCTGCCCATGATGCTGAGACATGAGCTGTGATACTGATGTTGTTGTTACAGCCCATAATTAGATAAGAATTTTTTATGTCGGTTCTTCAAAGTAATTGACATACTATGTAGATATTAGTAGTTGATGACAACCCTCAAGTTGACTACAGTAGTATGGCGCACAATGACACTTGTCAATGCCAAAACTTTGTCCGATATCAACAAATATGATATTTCGCTTTATTTTTCTTGTTGAATAATAAATGAAATTGTAAGAATCTTCTAATTAATCAATAGTCCTATTGACTTTCAGCGAACAACTTCGATGTGCTTTTTTAATATTTGTTTTCTTAATATAAATAGTTTTTCAATGGAAATACACTTTGTTTCACGTAATAAAATATTAAAACACAGCAAAAGCTATATTGTAAACGTATAAGTTATAATTACTGATGTAGTTTATAATTATAATAATAACGAATTAACACACTATGCCAAGTTTCATAGCATGATCTTCTCTCCGTACTGTTATACCCTTAATATGTAAGAGTTATGGCTAACCTCTTGATTATCTAATATGCTAAGTAATCAAAAGGAATGCATATAAGCATAGCAAGCGGGAGCAGGGTCAGTCTTTTTTCAGTATCCATTAAGGTTACACCTCTGTATTCTATTACTATTTCTAAATAAAATCATTTTGTTTTTTAAAAAGATTATTTTAAGTATCCGTATAACAGTACGTTGTTAATAAAGTCTGCGAACTAAAGCATAGAAATCGAATTAAGTTTCTAAATCTAAAAGTTAAAGTAAACGTTTCTAAAGCTGTAAAAAAGCTTTTCATCACATAGCATATAATATCATTGTCATATAAAAAATACATAATCTGTGCAAATACCAACTCGCGACAATAGATGACGTTGTCAAAAGCAACATATAGTGATAATAATAATTAAAAATGCACAAATAGAAAACCAAAACAAACTTAAAAAGTTTGGTTTCTGTGGCAGTGTGTCTTTATTGCTAGCATTTCCTCGCTGTATTGCTTATTCGAGGATTATAATTAAGACAACTTATTAAATTAAGTATTTCGTATAATACATACCGTGTCACGCCATATAAGTATTTTGGACATCAGTGGAATTCCAAAAAGGGTGAAAATCACATAGGCAGTACTAAGGTAGGTTTTAAAGTTACTGTAATCATTTGTGTCCCATTTGAATACTTTTGATGCGTATAAGTATAACACGGGCTTCTCGTCTGAAATTAATAAAAAAAGTAATAAATAAGAAATATCGTTATGATATTTTATTAATCCAAAAACTAACACAGACACACTCTCAATTACAGAGTGTTATACGCACACACACCTATTCACATACTCATACATTCATACTTAAGATCTCATACGACTTTTGTTTGATTAGATGTACCACTAAGACAACTTTTTCTAATAAAAATTGTTTTAAATGCACCATGTACATTGTACATGGCTCCCTAGTGTGGGAACTAGCGTTAAGGCCTGTATTCACTTTAAAACAAAAAAAGGATTTAAAAAAAATGAAAATATAGCTTGACCTTGAACTTGTTTACCTTAAGACGTACCACTAAATACATTTAAGGTGAAAATTATTAACATTGTTTACAAGATAAATCTTTAATACAAGGACAGTAAAAACTTACCTCTTTGAAATGTATAAAACGCCATAGACACAAGTAGGAACCAGAGGAATAATCTTCTATTATTCGGCCTTTGCTTCGTCAAAGTTATGACTGTTTCTTTGATATTATTTATATTGAAGAAATCCTTGATCGGATTGGTCACTCCCGCCTCGCTGGCCGACATTTGCTCGTTTCTTGTCTGCCATTTGAGGAAGAAGATACAATGAAACGTCGCCAGTACCATAAGACAGCAGTTTATTGCAAACATCGCGGTGAACGATTTGTCCACAAGGTGATTGAATATTATATTTCCTGGAATTAAAATTTCTTAATTATAAAATTGTCTTTGTTTAAATAGGTGGACGTTGTATCTCCTAGGCATGACCTCCACTGGCAGCCGATTCCACACGCTCGCTAGTTCGCAACAGGAATGCTTAGAGAAGCGGACAGTGGAAGAGTTCTCTACACCAGCTTTTTGCTATATTTATACTAGACATTTCGGGACGAGTTTCCTCAGTGTTATTATTTAAGTTATAAAGAAAGTCTAATTGGTTTTTTAGGATAGGGGGGCAAACGAGGCTACGGGACGGGACCCCCTATCTAGTGGGTGCGTTGTCGGCCCTTGAGGAAGGAGGACCCCCAACGGTCGATTCCACATTTCGCTAGCTCGCAAAAGGAAATGTCTTGATTTATGAATCACATTGTATGCAATGTTAAAATTGTGAGTTTTCATCATAACAACGGAATAAACCCTTTATTTAAATTACTTCTTACATATAAAAAATAATACCAGACAAGAAACAATATTGTATCAATAAAACTTCAGCTGCACGCAGGTGTCCGTTTACCATATTTAAATATCAAAATTTATATTCTTTGTGAACCGTTTAACCTTATAAAAATATCTCGAGTAACTTTCAAAATATAGGGAAAACATATTTTTTATAATCCCTGTGTCAAAACTGGACATATGAGAATGCAAAAACAATGGAAAAAGCGGGCACAGCTGTATTTACTTAAAAGTGACAAATTTGATACAATTTTAATTTCTATAGGTTATATAATTTTTTCATGACACAGTGTAACGTGTCGGTAATTGGTCTTGAGAAAAACCGCAATCAAACAAATGTTTCTCGTTTGTCAATATTATGCCATAAGTTCTGTATTTCTGATTTTGACAATATATTGTTGATAAAACATTTTGACAATGTTTTATCACAATAATATAAAGCAACACTCCGCCTTGAACCACTTATCGGTAATCGATTACGCTCGATTGTATTACGTCAGACGAATATATTAACGTCTTTCTATAAAGACATACTTGAAAAATGAATAAGAAAACATATTTTAAAATTATATATGTTACGGATATTGTATTTTTAATTAATTTTTAAGGAATAAAAAAAAATTTAGATTTTTTTAAACATAAATTCGTTAATTGATACTAAATTAAAAACACTGGTTACAGCCGGAATTTTTTTTATCGAAACTTTCAATGAACCCAATCATTATTATAAAAGTAAAATCAACAGCCTAACCAAGAAATGAAACATCATCGATTCAAGTCATTTGCCTAGCTGTTTGATCAACTGGCTGAATATCTTTCAGGCCGCTAGTTAAACGGCACTGTTTAGTTAAAAGGCTAGGCTGTTAATTGAAATGCTAATTAAGCTAGTTGGCTGCGACATATATATCAAATTGTCTATTACTGATTTTCCTTTAAATAGCTTTACGTTTCTAACGGTATAAGATAGCGGAGTATAATCTAAATTTGGCAACATTTTTCATTCAAGTAATCTAAAGACTTTGTACAACGGGCGGTCTTTTCACTCATAAGCAATCCAGGCAACCCGTGCGAGAGAGAGTGCGGACACTAACAGAACATGGTAAAGAGAAACAAAAGTGTAGACAAAATATAAACTCGCCAAATAAATAAAGTAAAATCATTTTTGAAAGCACTTACCAAAAAAAATTCCAGTGGGCATAGTAGTTAGATACACCGCATCCAAAATAGCTACTCGAAAGGTGCGATTTTCCACCGAAGAAATGTCGGAAAGATATGCGAAGCATCCAGTAAATATTGCCAAATCGGTGCCTGTAAGGGCGCTTGGGAGCACGGCGAAGTATATCACGTATTCCACAGGCCATGCTAAAAGAAGAAATAATAAATTAGAAGGTATCTTATGCTTGCAGCAACTAGCAAATAGCTGGTCGGTTTGAAATTCAATAAAATAATTTCTAACGTATTAATACTTATTATTAGCCTATTAGAATTATATATTTTATATATACTAACATTAGTATAGCCATAACATAAAAAAAACTGCGTTAGAAGTTATACTTCTTTGACGTAACACGATAAAGATCTTATCAAAAAATATATTCTACGTTTGTGGAAAAAACGATACTAACAAAAGAAAAAGGTGTGTGTAGTGAGGGTGTGCGCGCGCATCGTAAAAATTTACTCTCATAATTTTTCCCTAACGCGCCAAAAGAAGTGTAACTTCAAAAATACAATCTGGTATTGGACATCATTCAAACTAGATTTGGACTTCGGTTTGATTGATGGTTTAGAATACGATAAAATTCAGAGTAGAGACTTAGAGTCGAGAGTACCGTACCTACACTCAGAAAAATTCTTAGCCAATAAGGGACTAAACTGTAATACTAAGATTAACTCACTTTAATTAACGAATTCTGAAAAATTACATTTCAGCTTCCGGGGACCTCAAGAACAGTCTTGACTTAATATAATACAATTAACGTGTTTTTTTGTATGTCAAAAATACAGTCAAGTATCAATATAGCTAAAGCGAGGCACAGTAAATTTGAAATAAAATTGCATAATTTAAATTCAAAGAACTGAGAATGCTGACAGGTAAAACGCAGTTAATTTATGCCTGTAGCCGTTGTATTTCTGGTACAACATGAATTTTTCTAAGACTCGTATTAGTATTCAATCTCTGTATGAAGCCCCGTGAGCTTTGTACATCCTACATTGGTAATGTTTCTTTACAAGCAGGTTTTATTCTTCGAATTTGGGGTCTAACTCTAATCTCAAATCTTAGTTAAATTCAACGCTTAGTATGTCCTGTAAGAAAGGCATTTTAATAATGGCCCAGTCCATCACTTGGTTAAACCAAGTCGTGAATGGTTTTGGCGATAATAATTTAGCAAAATCACAAATTTGCCCCATACTTGCAAAACATACACTGTCTTTAAAGGTCGGTCATGTACCGAATAACGAAAACCTTTCACAAATTGATTGTTATTAATTTATATCGAACAGTGTTGACCTAATGGCTTCAGCGTGCGACTCTCATCCCTGAGGTCGTAGGTTCGATCCCCGGCCGTGCACCAATGGACTTTCTATGTGCGCATTTAACATTCGCTCGAACGGTGAAGAAAAACATCGTGAGGAAACCGACATGGCTTAGACCCAAAAAGTCGACGGCGTGTGACAGGCACAGAAGACTACTTGCCTATAAGATTAACGAATGATCATGAAACAGATACAGAAATCTGAGGCCCAGACCTAAAAAGTTTGTAGCGCCATTGATTAATTATATCGAACTGGCACTTGACGTGACAGAAGTACCTAGCCTAAATGTAAATAAAAAATACTTACAGGTAGTGGCTATATATGTAATCATTAATGAGAAGTATAATTTTCCAAGTAAGCCCGTTAAAAGGATAATTTTTCTGCCTCGCTTGTCACTGTAGGCGCCGAGAAAGAATGCAAGCACTACAGGTATCATGTGCATTGCTATTCCGTTCCATTGATGAAAGAGCGACGTTGTGACCTGTAAATAAATAGAATTCACATATCCAGTCTTAATTGTTAAATGTGGATATATTTCTTTAGCTGATCTGATGTTTCAATAAGTAACATCACTGTGAGTTTAATGGTTGTTTTCTTTTTAAATTAATTATTAACTACTATTAATTACAGTAGAATTCATATACAACGACTTTGCTTGTAACGACCAACCGGTTTTAACGACTATAATGTTTACTAATAGGTAATGAGAAAATATAACCGTTTAGTGCGACTCCCGTTTAAGCGACCATTAATTATGATAATACGTCCGGTTAAAACGAGCCATTAAAATTATAGGAAATTCAAACTTTCGCAATTAAAATACGAAATTTGATTGAATTGAAATACGTCATCCGGTTAGTACGACATAGTATCGCCGGTCCCTTGAATGACGTTATATCCGGATTCTACTATACAGTAGAATCCGAATATATTCAATTAGTTCGATATACATCGAACTAATTGAATATACAAATAAAATCTACAAATTAGATAATGTTACCATACAAAATTTAGTCGAATTCAAAATAAAATATTTTTTCTTCTATATTCATGTTAATCTCCTTTTTGAGTCGCAATCGACTTCAGTTGTAACATCGCAATAGCAAAAACGCAAAACAAAGCTAAGTATTTCGCGCCGCTACATAGCATTTATTGTTATAATGTCATGTGTTATCGCCTAAAATCTACGACGGAAATGTTAGATTTTCCATTACTTGTTATATCCTACTAGCTGGTGCCCGCGACTTCGTTTGCGCAGGATTAAAATAATATTTGTCCAAATGACGTAGCGTGAACGACACATTTTATCTAAGCACTTTAAATACCAGAAGCAATAAAAGTATCTATTTTCACTTACGAATCAATTTATTACAACCAATTGTGCATTTGAAATAGATTATCAATTTTTATTGTAGTTATGATTCACTATTTTGGCTAAAATGGCTTACACATAAGACATAGACATACTGTGGCATATTTGTAGGACTATTTAAAATAAACATTTCCATCATGCAATACATATGTGTAACTCTAGCAGTTTTGGCAGCGCAAGCTAGAATTGCTCGCAGATGGTAGATTTTTTCCTACTTACTTGATATTTTGGACAATTCACACAACATATTTATAAATTGTAGCCTATTCTTCTGATGTGTAAGCTATATTACTATAAAGTGTCATTAAAATCCATTCAGTAGTTTTTACGTGAAAGAGTAACAAACATCCATCCATACTTACAAACTTTCGCGTTTATAATATTAGTAAGGACAAGACAAATCTAATAAGCATATCTATTTTTTGATTGAAACGGAAACTAATTGAGCTGCAACCAGCAGAAACTAGGGGCAAGATAATAATAATAAGGAAGGATTTGACCCTCGGGACTCATACTTAGCAAGTCTCTGAAACTCACGCTTCTTTTTTTTATATAGAACTGATCTTAAGATGAACACACTTAACGCTAGAGATCTCGAGAGTGCGTTGCCGGCATTTGAGGAATTGATAGGCTCTTTTCTTTCACTCTTAGTCGAATTGGTTGAATTTTATGCTATTTTAATGTGTAAAATAACATAATATTTTAAAACGGACAATTTCATAACAAATTAATATTTATTTATTTGTTACAAAAATTATATATTTATATAATTTCTGTCGTTTGTACATAACTAAAGTGCTTTATAAACATAAAAAAACGTTATGCAGCATTTTGTCATTCGTCCCCAATTTAAAATTTTGTTATTATTTTTCGCCTTACAAATGCTTTCATTTACTCTCTTAATTATCAAAAGAATATTAGCTATACAGCAAATTTTTATGCTGTCTCATCTAAACCATTTTTGATGAGCGTTATCAGAACTTTGATTTGTAAATTAGAACACCTTAAAATACATTAAACAAAGTCACAAGCATAAACTAGTCGAGATACAAAGGTAAATGCTGATATCGATAATCTTGACGGCCACTTCAAAGTATGTCATGAAATCTTACGATATATCTTTGTAGAGCCTTTCAAATAAACTGACATAAAATAATAAAAATGAAATAAAATTCATCTCTTAAAAACTATACAAATAACGGTATTTGATTAAATTTTTAGATTCGCAACTTTGCCATTATATACATTTTATTTATAATTGTTTTGTTGTACAAATGTTGGATAATTAAAATTGATTCACTTCTTATATCATATACTATCGCCAGCACAATTAAAGTGTTTCATATAGTAAAATAAGCTAATCCAATACCTAATAGGGTTTTAGATAATAAGATAGTTTTATTGGTTCAAGTTCTTAGGGTTTAAAAATTCTTTAGTGACAAACATATGTGAAATATAAAAACTGGAAACAGGTAAGATATCTAACTATACATCAAATAATATTATAAACAACTATATATTCATTGTTCAATATATTTAAACACTAGCAGATATGTGAAAATTTCTTCACAATTGAAAAAAAAATCACCCATAAAATCCTACAAGCTTAGTGGAAAATGTTTATAAAATGTTCATAAACCATATAGTAGATTTACTTTTGTGGAACTTTTGTAAAGGGGCCCTATAGTATATAAAGCTAGATTATAAAGCCAGAAAATATATGTACTAACCTGTACTTCCTTATTAATTGTGTCATAACTGCTAATGTTATAACATATATCCGGACTGTAACCATGATTGACTGTGCATGCCCGGAACAAGTAAAATGTTTGCTCAATCACGTTTGTTATCATAAATGCCATCATGTAGAAAAACATAACTGGTTCCACAGATATGTGTCTGTACCATGGTCTAATTGGCCTCATCTGTAAAATAAATGATTCTTTACCATATAGGATAACCAATTAAATTATCGCTAAAATTTGTAGGCAATTTCATGAAATACTTTTCAACAAGATTTTTTAAGAAAATACTTATACTTATTTAACTTCTTTTTAATGAAGTCATTTAATAAAACATTCTGGAAATCTGTATGATTTTTTAAAAGTCAGCAGTTAATTTTTAGCAGTCAGTTTTTATTTGTGTTAACAAGTTTTTTTGTTTAATTTAACTATAAAAACCTAAATACTCTGTCATTGAGTGTTAGTATAATATACATAGATTCATAATAAATAGAAAAGATTTGACAATATAATAATAACATTTCTCACCATATATAAACTTTCCTCACTACTATCAGTTTCCATCTTTAGAATATTTGTTTAATTTATTGAATTTGTGACTTACATCGCAAAAAAAGGACTTCTACTTAAATGTCTTCTCTTGTCAACAAAGTCAAGTAAATACAGGTGTATTAGATTTTTGATTCACACAACCAATAACCATTCTGCTTCCTCCACTACTGAAATTTTAATGTAAGCATCAGTATTAAATAGTTACTGGTCAGCGCCACCAAAGATTTTCTGCGGCGGAAAAATGAACTAAATTTGACAAGTCAGTAATGCCAACTTCGGCGTTTTCCCACAAATTTAGGGGGAATAAAGATGTCCAGGGGCTATTAGGGGAATTTAATTTTTTAAATTTTGATTTGATTGTTCAATGTTCTTCGAGACCGATACAACTTTAGCCTAAAACTAGACTACAGTTTCGTCGATTTCCTCTTCATCAGCGCAAATGGACAAATCTAGAGCTCTGTGGACAGAAATATAATCGCGGCACCAACTTTGAGCAGAGATTTCGCATATTCAAATATACATCTAGGATATGTCCAACATCTTTAGGGTCTAAGCTATCTTAATCTGGACTTTTTGATGTTAAGCTATTGCATAGCTTTTATCGCGGGCTTTGAGTGGGGCGACCGAATCAAGAAATCCCGTAACGAAAAACACCTAACACACGATGACGTAATATAGGTGCGGCCAATACGCGTTAGAGCGGGGCAGAACGCATACTGAGTCTCACTTCGGTCTGGCGTGATCGGTGACGTAGCGCAGATACATTAGAGTGGGACAGAACGCATACTGCGTATTCACATCTCTCTGACGAGATCAGTGACGTCGTAGCGTTAGCGCGGCTTAGAGTGAGGAAGACTATATCGGCGTGTTAGTCTGAGTCTGGTAGAGTGGTAGATTGAATTAATATCAAAGAAAAAAACTTGAATTAATATAAAAGAAAAAAATACTGCATAAATAAATAATTATAATTGCATAAGTTGATAAAAAATGCTATGCAATAGCTTTACCGCGGTCCCCGAGTGCCACACATTTTTTTTTGTCAGTAACAGCCTCTTTGGGCGTCCAGATGCTCATTTCTCCTCGTTTAAACTTAGCACGCCACTTCTCAACGGTTGATTTTTATGGTGCAGAATCCGAATAATGTATATCAAGTCAAGCCTTGGCTTCAATAGTTTTTTTTGCCATTACTTTTTGACACAGGAAATTTTTTTAATCCATTTTTTAAACAAACAAAAGTTCCTTCACTCAAAACGCTATATCTTACAAACTAATAGTAGGAGAGTTCAATATATTTTTTACACGTGTCTTTTGATGGTTAGTACTAACTAAAAATCATTTTAATGTAATACTAGTATGTGTCGGCCTATGAACGTTTCAGCCCACCGATTATTTAGGGGGAGTATTTAGGTAGTACTTTATTCCAGGTTTTTTTCTCAAAAAGTGCTTAATTCTATATGCATGCATAAATATAAATTACATAAGATTCAAGGCTTAATATTAATTATATTAGGCCTCGAATCGTGCTGTAACTGATCTATCAAAATACTCTATGTTCAAATAAAAAAACGGGACGCCTGGCAGGTGTGAAACAGCGACATTATTTTGTAAAAGTAATATGTGGAAAAAAAACAGATTGTGATAGGAACTAAGTATGTCATAATGATAAAATAAATTAATTTATTGAATAAACATTTATTTTCATTAAATACAAAAATTTACGAATTTATTTCAAATCGTGACTACTTAATTCGTTTAATCAGTGACTTTGAAATACACACACCGTACACACTACTGCATATAGACTGTATATATATACCATCATATAGCGTGGCGACGCGTCGCCACGGCATGCGTCGCCACGCCAGATATCAGTTTTACGTGCGGCTATAGATGTTTCACATCAAAATACTCTGATATAATACCCTAAGAGCGAAATAACAGTTATTTTATACTAGGTAATTTTATTAATTTATTACACTTCATACTATAAAAACATAATGAAAATTTTAATTCCTTGTTAATCTTTTTGTAATTGAAAATAAAAGAAATATTTATTATTTAACAGCTTTGTTCTACTCATGAACGCAAATTTTAATTGTTTGGAAATATTTTATTAACTGAAAATAAATTATAGGTTGGTAATTAATGAGTTAATGTTGGCAGCATTTGTAATACGCTGACAGCGCCGCTTCTACGTCACTTCAGCAGCTGAGATACAATGTAAGTACTAAGTATGGCTATTGGCTATCTCCAAACTACAAAACTTAACTGCTAACTTTACAAATATCAAACATGGCATTTATATATAAAAACTCAACTAAATTCAGTTGCAATATAAAAATGTACATTACTTTAATACTTACTATAATTTATTTCAAGGTATAATTACTTACTCTATAATATAAAAATGAATCGCAAAATGTGTTGGTAAGCGCATAACTCAACAACGCCTGGACCAATTTGGCCAATTCTTTTTTTATAATATTCCTTGAAGTACGAGGATGGTTCTTACGGAGAGAAAAATTTAAAAAAAATTGAGTAAAAAAGTCTAAAAACAACACTTTTCTATATTCCCATAAAAAATGTTCGTAATAATACTTAAAAGTCAATTTGAACTTTAATACCATATCATAAAGTTCAAGTATTAGTAGAGGGGTTCCGGGAAGGTAAATTTTTATTTTTTGACATAATGTATTTGTTGTCTTATCAACTAATGGTGCGCTTACACGAGGGCAATAATTGCTCGGCAACACGAATGGACCGATCTGGAGCAATTAATGGAGCAATTTAAATAAATTCAATAAATTTCAATAAATTATTTCGGCGATATTGCTTCTAATTGCTCCAGATATTTCATATCGCTCAATGTCGCAGATACGAATTGACGAATATCCAATGGACTTGGAAATTCCTAGCAATTTTTGTATATATCTCATTCGCACTTGTTTGTTTTGCGGCTTGCCGTCTTGCTTGCGGGGAGAGCGAGAGGTCGGGTGGAAGTAGGATAGCGCGCGGCAAGAGTCCAGCGCGTAGTCAGCCTCTGTTTGTTGTGTTATAAATAAATTAAAAATAATAAATTAAAATAAAAGTTAAGTTAAGTTGTAATTTATAAATAATTAAATAATATATTTTATAATTATTTATAAATTACAACTTCATTCTGTTTTGGTTCACACAACGGTGTTCCTTTTTTTTTTTTACCGTCTAGTCAAACATAGCCAACAACTTGATTATTTTATGTCGTATTTTTTAATTGATTCATTTGGAATTTTGCAAAGCCGAAGAAATGTTCGTAATAATTACAGTGTGCTAATTAACTAACAGTGTGAAATTGAACTGTTTCCTGTTTATATTCTCGAAGAACTTCTGCAATAGCTCTGCATACAGTAGGTACAAATAATGCAATACAACTATCAGAAATTCTAAACAGATACATTAAACTTTTATATGAATCTCCTGTTGCCAGAAATCGAAGGGTTAAAGCAAGTTTTGTTGATGCAGAAATTGGTTCTCTCATGTTGGTCGTCTGTTTCTTAATTAATGGGCTAACTTTATTCAAAAGTAATTCAAAGTCTGTTCGTGACATTCTAGTAAAGTTTTTGAACAATATATCATCTAATTATGTATATAATGAAAATTTTGTCCTCTTTGCCAAAAACGATCGCACCCAGATACGCCTATTCCTTTTCTTTCTTTTTTGTTTTTGATTAATAATAAAAAAAGCACTACAAGCCGCCGCAGCAAGAACAATATCGTCCATAGCGAGCGAAAACTGAAATGCTCGTGTATGACAGTATTGCCTAGTTGATGAAGTTGCGCCATATCGCTCAATATTGTATTGCGCAGTATTGATGCTTGTTGCCGTTGCCGTAAATTGCTTGATGTAGTCGTGACGTCATAATTGACGAGTATTGACTGGAATTGAGCAATTTTAGTTGCCCGTGTAAGCGCACCTTTACTAATAGGACACAACTGGTAAAGATCAGAGGGCATGTGTCTAACGGTCAGCCTATACCTATGGGTGTACCACAAGGATCGCACTTAGGGCCTTTATTATTTATCATTTTTGTGAATGACTTAGCATATAATTTGAAGTGCAATTTTAAAATGTACGCTGATGAATTAAATTATACCAACATGTTCAACAGGATATTGATATTGATTTTCTGCAGGAGCAACTAAACAAAGTTATCATTTGGTGCGGGCTGAATAGAATGATTTTAAATGAAGGAAAGTGCTGCTGCATAAAATTTTCGAAAAAAAAGAAATCTTCACCACTAACATACTGCATAAGGGGCCAGAAACTTCAAGAGGTTAAAAGCATAAGAGATTTGGGTGTTATTATGGATAGTTCACTAAGTTTTAGGGAGCATGTGGATAGTATTATAAAAAGATCCTCAAAGCTCTCTGGTTTTATCTCCAGAATAACAGGGAGTCTTACCGATCCCAGTGTCGCAGTTACTATTTTTACCAGCCTCGTTAGAAGCATATTGGAGTTCAATAGTTGTGTCTGGTCTCCAATGTATTTAACCCATTCAGCGAGGCTGGAAAGGGTGCAGAGAAAGTTTTTATACCATCTATCCTTTAGAAATAATAAATGTGCAATGTTGAGTAAATATGAGGATAGGTTAAATTTCTATAACTTGGAATCTCTGAGTGTTCGTAGAGCAAATATCGACTTGCTATACCTATTTAAAGTAATTAACGGAATTGTGGATTGCCCAGAAATTTTAGAACGTTTATCCATACAAGTTCCTCGGGTCGGGAGTCGTTTGTACAATCGAAGATGTTTTCACATCCCACATTGTCGAACAAACGTTGGCAGAAACTCACCAATTAATAGGTTATGTCGCTACCATAATGATATTGCACAGAGTTTTGACATTTTTCACGGTTCTCTGGCCTCAGCTAAGAGTAGAATTAGGACACAGTACCGATAATTTATTTTCTTGGTTCAAATAGTTTAATTCTTTTATAGTTTGCATTTTTAATTTTTATGCTTGTTTGTATTT